ATTACTACACAGCAACAAAAAAAACAAGAATTATGACTGGGTCAGGATAAGATCTTGTTATACAAGAGAGTCTCCTTAATAGAGAACTAGAGCAATTGCCTAATGTAAGGCAGCTGTTACTTTGAAAGGATCTGATCACTCACTGGCCGGGTTTTCTCATTGGTCGGGTTCACTCACTGGCCGGGTTCACTCACTGGCCGGGTTCACTCACTGGCCGGGTTCACTCACTGGCCGGGTTCACTCACTGGCCGGGTTCACTCACTGGCCGGGTTCACTCACTGGCCGGGTTCACTCACTGGCGAGTCCTTCCAGCATCTCTGCTTTTGAACCCTAGGTAGCGATGGACATGCCAATTGGTAGCTGTAGGTCTTGGATAGGAATCTCACAAAGTTTTTGCTCAACACTTTGCTATTTGCCTGATTTTTTCTCTGAATTTTTCTCGGCATTTGATATCAATCTAATATCAAAAACTTCCTCCAAGAACTTTTCTTTACGGATTTCCGGTTAAGAAATAAACATTTTTAATAAAACCAATGTCCATGGGTTTTATTTGTGTTCAGGGATAAAATAAGGGTATGATAAGTTACATCAATGCTTGGCACTTTGTTGACTACCCCTTTAATGCCTTAACAGTTAATTATTTCCCAATCACCAAGATCGGATAACTTCTGAAAGAAAAGAAGAATCAGGCTCGGGCGTCGCTGCATATACAAATATATGAATAGCACTGGATCAACACTTCCAGCCAAGCTGTGGCGTTACCGAAACTCTCGTAAAAAACTACATTTTTTTTATAAGAACAATTTTATAAGAACACGAGCCTCAAAATGGGTCAAAATTTAAGAACAAATTAAGAACAAGCTGAGGCTGAGCTACTGTAAAATGAAATTTTGAACAACGTTTTATTTCAGCAACGAGGATTTTTAGCCATGTGTGAGTGCTTTTTCGGTGAATATTAAAACATGGCGGCAAATTAAGTTTGTCTCTACGCACTTTGTTGGCAAAAGAGGCCTGAACACCTCCCCAGAACGAAAAGCTAGAAATCGCACTGCTTATACCCTATAAATTTAAGAACAAATTAAGAACAATCCAGCCTCAGATTTTCGGAAAAATTAAGAACAATCAGCCTGAACTCAAATTTACATGTTCTTGTAAAAAAAGAGTGTATTTAAAATTCCTAATGACAGAAGTTGAATGGATAATTCTAAAACTCATTATACATTAGAATAAATTTTGGAGACAGCAGAAAGTTTGACTTGGTTTAGCACAAGTAACATTTGCTTATGCGTAATTTGAAAGCTTCTCTCTAAAATTCTATGCAAAGTATAAATGCAATCATTTCGAGAAATTACGATATTCTATCGAAAATGATTGCTGTTTGGCTCCCCTCTGCTCCTTGCAAAGGCTTCAGTTGTTGAGATGAATTGAATTCGAGATAAACAGGGGGTTCCTGAAATGAAACTAAGTGAAGCTAGAATGCGGAAAGGGCAGAATCTCAAAGAAACACAACCGGGAAAAAAGGTATATATCTTGACGGATGCCTTAGATTTATGACGTCAGAAGTCTACCTGTAACTTCGGAAGTTCCGTAAAAATTACTTTGAATAATTTTTTCGAAGAATTAAGAAAAAGGTTCCTTTAGAATAGTTTCTGAACTATTGCTTTGGATACTGTTTTATTACAAATGCATAATTTAGAGGTGCAAAACTGCCGATGTAAAAGTTCTCAGTAAAAAGTCTACCACAGAGAGTTAATGGTAATGTTATAAGGAAAAATTAAAAATTAAATAACAAATGTAAAAAGAGTGAATAAAAGGTGAATAGAAATATAAAGAGGTGAATTGTACACATAAATTTGTCTGCTGTTTGTATCGGTCTGGATTTTCACATTTTTTTGTTGAACAGAAATTCTTTTAAGGTTTGTAGGTTATTAAGCAAAAAATTTTTCACGCGCAGCAAAATCTTGTAAAAGATAATCTTGTCGCTTTTTATATCATCTTTTTTTTGCTCTTGATAACTTGGAGACAACTGGATTCGAAAAAAATTGAAGGGTAGTAAACACAGCACAAGACCCCTACTAAATTTAATTATGATAACCTCTTACCCGATACTAAATTAAACAATAAAAATACGAAAAAGAACTGACGATTCCTCTTGAAGAAGATAGACACTGGTCAAACAAAGTAATATAAGTAGAATCAACTTTTTAATTCTACCAGAACTAAAACCGCTCAGACAGATTTTCGATAGTATGACGGCTTATGCGGTTCTGCGTGAATTTGAGAACAAATTTCTTTTGTAGCATGATTGAAATACATAATCTGAAAAGAGCAAAGGCTAATCAATGTTGGTAGACATCGAAGACACTGCTTTATTCAGGCGTGATCACGTTAAATTACTAGAGAGAACAGCGCAGAAACAAGAGGGATACTAAAATCGTGCCCTGGTCTTTTTTCTGGTACGCATTTAGACACAGTTTTAAGACTGGGGACACAGAGGGCAAGTGTTCTCACCTACCATTCACAAATAGAGGTAAAGTGCATACTGGCAGCTCAGATAGATGTCCTTTTGGCTAAGCATGCTCCCTTCCACTTTTAAAAGGCTTCTTAAGAATTCGCACCAAGGTATAGGGGTGGTTTTGTCCTGAGGTAATCGTTTTATCAATGGAGGGCAGATTAGAAGAAAATTTTATATCATATCTTCAAAAAATATAATAAGTGTCCGAGAGGTTAGAAAGTGGTTATGAACATGGTTGATGTCATCATGATTTGGCCTTGCCACAAACCATTAATTCCTGGAAATAGAACATCAAAAAAACCAAATCGAAATCAACTAATACGGCCGCAAAACCGTAGAAATAGAACCTAATAAAAACAAGAAACAAATTTAAATTTGTGACAGAGGAATGTGTAAAATAAAAAATTGGCAAAAACTCAAAATCAGAAGTTCACATTACTAAGGTGAATGAATTTACCACAATGATATTTCCAGAAACAATGTCAAACACAACGAGTATATTCTAGCCGTTATATCAGTACCGCAATTTTTGTGTCATGCTTACAGCAGGGAAACGCAACACATATTATTGAACAGATATAAATAAACGGTAAAACCACTCAATGTACGGTAAATCAGTATGTTATAGCAAATATAATGGCAAAATGAATATTTATACAGGTTGTACGCTTAAACGAGGTTAAATCTGTTATAATGTGTGTCCCGAAATATGCTAGCTATATCATAGTTAAAAACAGGTTGCAAAGACATACCCCATCTTTACATGGCGTTCTGAGGCTAAAGCGTTTCGAAATTAGTTCCTCAAACTTAGGGTCCCGGACTTTTATGATATAAACTAACTTGCTTCCAATTTTCGGTATTCATCAAGAAAAAGGAGAGGGATCGTTTGATAAGAAAATTGCCTCTAATTGCTAAGCCTCTAGATACGCACTTTTCACAATAAATAAACTTAAAGGTTAAGAACAATTGATTTATAAACATATTATGAAAATAAGAAAACATGAAAATAAGGTTTTCCATGCAACCCTGAGAAAAATCATCCATACTTTTGAGTAAGAAAATAGGATTTCGTATCCATGTTTTTACATAAATGCATATCGACTTTTCGCTTGATTCTGTCTTATATGGTGGGGATACACTTCTTGGAAATGTCAACACACCTCCTATTTTGAATAACATTTCTTTAATGACGATAATTTTCTTTACTGTAAGAGTATCATATAGCTGGCTTTACTGTCCAGCACTTCAAATGCTCCCTAAGTTTAACAAAGTATCTTTCCTTACTGGTTTGCTTTAAAGGTTACCTCGAAATAACAGGTGCTGTTTACATAATGAAATATCTTTGATTGACCTGTTATACAAAGTATCTTTGGCATTTTGGTCCAGGTAGCTAGGATGTTTTTTCTTAAAGACATAGACAAGCCAGCAAACGAATAAGCTAAAGGTAAAAGAAATGCGAAGTAGGAAGTGTCAATATAAAGAAGTTGACTTTAAGAGGCAGGTATATTTTGAAGTAATTTTAAATTATGAATATGTTTCTGCTATAAAAGTGTAATTTTTCAGTAACAGAGCAAAGCAGAAGAGCAATTCAACTTGCAAGCCAAAATTTTAAGAGGGTGGATATTATCATTCAAAATTTAGGTGTCTGCCAAAAGGTAGTGTCAACTTAAACTTGATCGTAATAGCATTTTCTAATATGAATTATCTAATCGTAGACAACAGCATAGGAAGATTCTTAAGGCCATGCAAATGATTCCACTTCTCTTCCCCTTTGAAAAAGTCTTCCTACTGTAACCCCTTTGCGTGCTTAACTTTTCCTCGGATTTGCAAATTGTGGGGAAAGGAAATACCAGCAAAGATATGACGTCATCATTAGCATATTAGTCTATTTTGCGATCTCTTCCCGATTAGAAAAAAAGATCTCAAGAACAGTTCGTGCTTTAAATAGTGTGAAATTACCAAACCCTTATAAAATAAGCCTATAATTTGTCTTGTGGCTTGTTTAGTGGTCTTGTTAATCTCTCTCTGTAAAGATAGTTTAAATTTAGTTACTGCTCCTAAAAATTATAATAAAGTATCCGTGAAAAGAATTGTTTTAACGATCTGCCATAAAGTGCTCTACGCCGTAAAGGCAGGGCTGTACACGTTTTGTGCAAAGAACAGGAAAGTTCTAAGTTCCAACTCTGAGTTTTACCTATCAAGTTCCAACACTAAATTTAACTAGTAAAGTCCAAAGTGAAAGAAGACAAACAAAGAAAAAAATTGAAAAATAAATCTGTTTTGTGGCCTTGACCTCTTTTAATAAGCAGCAAAGAGCACTACCTCTTTCTCTATTCTGACTACTTAAATGTGACGTGGTTTAGTGACGTGAACAAAAACGTCAGGCTAATTCAATTTTTCGGAAATAAGATGTAGAGATAAGGGATCAGATTTTCTTGGTTTCCCCTATATTTTCTACAATACACGTAATACAAGCAGTTAAAGACATTTGCAGGGAATAGCTAGACAATATTTTCCAATAGATTACAATTACAATATCTAACATTCTCATTGCTTACTCGTTCAGAAACAGAGATTTTGACGACAGTGCAATGACGATTTCAAGAGGCATACGAAGTAACTGTGTGTATTTGATGTACCTGTGTGTTGTGGTGGCTGTAAAGGGAGTTACAGGATATGGTGTTTGAAAAGTATAATAAAAACTTAATAAAAATGAAACTGGTTTATCAAAACAATAAACGAGCCCTTTCCTTTTCTTTCTACTGAATCAAATGAAGATTTCTAATAAACCTATAGCGATTATACAATGCTCTATGCCTATTGACCAACCCGCTAAATGACGCAAACATGCCTCTATTGTCTTCTACAATAGTCGGGTGTATGTGCATTGATGCTGAGATTGCAGGAAAAGGAAGATACTAGAGTAAGTAATTCTCTATATTTAAAAAGGATTACCTTATATTTACTTTATATTCTGAATATTCAAAGGCTGGTTGTCCAGGGGGGCATAAATGTATGCTTAATGTGGAAATGAATATTGCTCGAATATAGAATTTGTAGACAGATCAATACTAGAAGTACAAGCGACGAGAAGTATTTTTCGGATTTTGGTAAAAAAGTTCGCTCTGGGATAGTTACAGTACGTTAACCAAAATAGGTAATTTATCTGTTTAAAAAAAGGTTTGAGAGAAAAAGTCGTTGATGAAAGTGGTAATGTAGCAAGTATCTTGTTTAGACTAAAAAAGGCAAAGAGTGTTATCTTACTATATTGAAACACAAGAAGCAATCATATACATTACAAAGATATATAAAAAAATAATACTATAGTCAAAGTAGCCGTAAAATAAGCATAAGGAAATTTTAAATGAACAAATTATCATAGGACTACATGTAGCAATCAATTAATCTGAAATATTACAAACAATAAAACATAGAAATATAAAAATAATCAGCTTTGATCACAATTTAGAAGAATGGTAAGTAACTACCCATGTTTGTTAGATAAAAACTGTTTTCGGTAGTGAATCTCGCTTGTAGGTACTAGCTCTCTCTGTCTATTGCTGTCCATTTCTTAAATGAGGATGGTATTATTGATTGGGGGCGGGCGACGGCGTTCGCGTCGCCTGATGCGCCGGTTGATTTTTTGCATTTTAAGGTACACTAAGAGTAATGCTAGTTTGATAAAGTCACCAAATGACAAGGAAAGGGAAGTATTGCCAGTACCTTTCAAAAGTTTTTAGTAGTAAAATCAACATTTGCTTACAAGCATGCCTCCAGACAAACATAGGAATCCAGCCTACGCCATATAATACGTTCAAATTAATGCAAAAGAACATATTCTACCTATCAAACAATTAAAATTATGAGCGAGCATAGACTCGATATCCTCCATATTGGCAAACAAGAAACTATATATATAGAAAATAATTAAGACTTTTACAGACCACAATATATAAGGCATATCGTTTGTTTTTTTTAATTTTTGCGTGGTATATATATTTTTTGTTTGCTCATCTTTTATCTTATACTTAAGTTATCAATCTAGAACTCATAAGGAAGTAAATAACGATGAAGAAAACGCCGCTCCAGCATGCTATGGTCTTCCGGCATTTTTCTAATTACAAATATACATAAACGGGAGCCTTCCATCAATTCTCTTTTGGTTGATTCTCTAAATAGCAACAGGTCTGTAAGCATGTAGGAGGTGCAGTAATGTGAAACTAAATAGAGACTCGCGCCATACACCTGCAACAGGATGCAGTATTCAGGGGGTTGTGTCAAAGAATGTGGAAGACACGATTGTACCACTTCCACCGCGTTCAAATCTAGCCCGAGTTTGAATGGTGACGTGATGGATTTTTTTTCTTCAATACTTCTCTAGCTTAACCTAAACACGATAGTGGGAAACTATTGAAAATGTTTTGAAACATAGTGCTAAATTTAAACCTAAATGCTATAGCCAAAAACGGAACATCAAAACTACTTTTTGCAGCGGAAAGAAAGCGGAGGTCAATAACATGTGAAGAAAAAATTAATTAATTATAGCTATTCATAAATTTCTGCATCATTTATTTTTTAATTGAAAAAGGTTGCTTGTAAAAAGTTAGAGAAACTATCAGGGTTTTTACATTTATATTTTGCTAAATTAATTATTATCTCGAAATAATGAGCTATTGCATGCAGAATTGGAAATAAAAATAGCTTTTAAAAGATTCAGGATATTATAAGGTGAAAGGAAACTGAATCGATCGATGAAGCAAACCGCATCCCGTGATGCGGGTTCGGGCCTACAGTGGTCATAAGGCGAACGTTGGTTTGGAAAATTGGGTGATTAAATGTACCAGCAAAAACGCTTTAAATTAAATATTACCATTAGTATAGAGTACCTCTATTTCGTGATAGAAACTTTACAGTTCCTTAGAAATAAAAACTTTTTTCAAATTCTCCAAATTCAAACAGAATCTTTGTTCGAAATAAAACAAACAGCAATACTTGACTCCCGTTAGCCACATAACAAGAATTATTTGATTCGAATCTACTATATCACATCTTCCTATAGACTAGGGATGTCTTAAATCTACAGCTTTTGGACAAAAAAGGAAAATACAAAATGGAAGATGTAAAAAAAAGGGAAAAATTATAAAAGAAAAATATGTAAAACGACAAGTCGCTAAAAAAAATACTTTTAGAAAAGTATCTTTCAAAATCTAGCTGCTTTTATTAAGCTGCTTTAATCTAGCGTTAGAATAATTGATAATTGATATGGAATACGGTATAGAAAAATTCTAAATATGGCAGATATCTAACGTGCAAGGTATTGGTTTAAGTGAATTCCACTACACAACCCCCGTTATTCTGACAAGAAGGCCTCAGTCACTGAAACCTCACTCCTGTAGGAATTGTCCATACTACCTAATAGCGATTACGTCAGCATCTGAAATCGGAAGTCAGGCCAAAGATGGCTACCGAAACAGCTTCTAGTATCCGAAATCTAGTTTCTGCAATGGGTATAAAAGGGGAGGTTGATAAGACTGTACATTCAAAGCAGATAGCTACCAGCATCAAATCAACTCTAATCTTGAGCAACTCAAGAACACACAAGAAAGCCAAGAACTCGCTGCATAATCGCTGCATCGCAACACTCCAAGTGAAAAGCATAAAAGAACAGAAAAGATAAAACTTTCAAAATGGCATTTAAAAAGGTAAGATCGCTTTTCGTAAAAAGGACAATTAATAGTGATTTGCATCTATCTTATTATAATGTTACAACCTATGCATACCTTTGATTTACTTCAATGTTTTATTGCGTTACTCTCAATTACTAACGAAAACTACTGATTACTGTTGATTACAATTACTGTTGAGAAGAAGGCATTAGAGGGGTTTTTAGTAATATCATTTGATGGTGGATAAACTATCAATAGAAAATTTAAGAGACTGTCATTGTTAAGCAACGAAATTCCGAAAATTAGAGACATCTGCTAACGAGAATGGATGGCAAGACCCTATTTACTGCTGAATAAATGGACTACTGTAGCCTGAGCAAGCAAAAAAATCTTCCTACAGTAAAACCTTCCAAAAATCTTTTCAAAGCAAGATTGAAAATTGTCTTTATTTGGAATCACAATCAGCTTTTGTACGACTTTATTTGGAATCACAACAAGCTTATTTGGAGTTTCTTTATAGCAAATATCTTTGAAATTCTTTCGTCAATCCACCAGGAGGAAGACTAGGAAGATTTTTTTAAATTTCCTAGAAGATTCTAAACTTGCTTGGCATGATGGGATACCATCGATTTGAAGATATGCTCACCAATGGCGTAAAAAGCCACGATGGTTGGCGCAACTATAGCTGTATTTGGGAACACAAGCAGTTGAATGAATCTAGTTGAAGTCTCGGCTTTAAAATCTGAAGTTTCGTGGTCTTTTCGGAGACTTAACTGTTCAACGTGCCATAACCAAGGTCTCAAGAACTTGATAAACGAGCTGTTATGCTTCGGGGTCAACAATAATAATCATGTAAATAGCACTTGACATAAAATCTCCTTGGTATACCCGTCGGACTGGGATAGGTTTACAGGTTAGCGCAGAGGGGCACATCAGTCATTTCACAATAGACGATAAGATTAAATATCAACAATGAAACAGGCAAATTGAAGGAATGAGGAAAAGTGATGTTTCTTATTAACAGGGAAGTCGATGCTTCTACTTACTATTCCATTTACGTAGACACTCTAATCATACTAAAACGCGAGACTGAGTATGGGAAGGACTATATAGGAAGCAATTCAAAGATAGGATAACAACTAGAGATAGAGACAGAACTTGAAAACAAGAAGGGCTTTGATTAAAAAGCGCCTAGCGTTCACGCGAACAGTAAAAATCCAATGACGAAACCAGCATACGGTTAACTTTCTATTACCTGCTTTCCTTTCTAACACCCTTACTCTATTTAGCACCCTGCTTTCTTTTGATAACGCCTTTGATATAGGCATCGCTCAAACTCTTTTACGTGAATTTGACGCCCTTATTTCTAACGTTTCTCTATTTGAAGGAAACGCCTTTCTAGTAATGCCTCTTTCAAAACCCGCGGATACACGTGGGATTTTAATTAGTACATTACTCTACAAGAGCGTAGAACAGCATACAAACTAATGATATGTCAAACCCTCTCTTTGTACATTTCCATTAAACACAAGTAATGCTTTTCTGACGACCAGAGATAAACACAAAACCTGATCTCCACTCTTTCTAACAGAACTTATATTCATTGCATATCGAACACCTGAATCCGGGCTACTCTGGTGCGGTTAGTAGACGGAAACTGCAAGTTGGATTGACAACGGAAATCGTTTATATTTAAAATGTTAATTGTCTTGTCATAACTTGTTTGATTAAAATAGACATATTATTCAACCTTCAAAAATGTACAGGACACTGTAAAATCTAAATCAAACTGACGAAGATTCAAGATTCAATATAAAACACACAACTTTCTGGTGGTATTGGACCTTCATGTGATTTTACATGTGATCAATGCCACTAGCGCGCTATCTTTCAAAGCTCAACGTACGCTTCATGTGATCAGTTACAACAGTGCATATTTAAGCCAATCACACGAGAGACGCTAATAGTCATTAATCAGAAGTTTCATGCCACGCCTACACGTTCACAAGTAAGCACAGTCACGTTGAGTTAAAATTGGTTTTTGTGTACGAAGAATTGAACATGGGTTTTCCCGATTCTCTAGTTCAGATACCTCAACAGTTTGGCTGGGGCGTGAATTAGATTTCTTATTTACCTATTCAGAAAAAGTTTGTCGCAAAATCCATAGTGCTTCCAATGTATGGCTTTTCATTGTAAAAGTATCTATCTTATCTTTTCCAGGGAGCAATACTGTGCACTATCTTTGCAATGGCCTCAATCGTCAACTTAGTAACCTCATTGCCAATGTACAAGCAAGAAAATCTGACCCATGTTGGTGAGGCATCTAATTCCACAGTAACAGATGAATCACAACAGCTAGGGTATGCGAATCTTACTGCGGAGGAGCTTATGAATCTGTCGCCTGTCGAGTACTACAAAGTTATGGGAGCGAGCCCTGAACAAATTGCACATCTGACCGGATCCTCTTTATCAGAAGGCCACCATAGAGCAAAGAGAAGTCTCACCACGTGTCCAGTGTCCTACAAGATCACCGTCTATGCTGACAGGTTACCAAGCTTAATAAAAACAGCTATTTGCAACGGCCCACAGACCACATGTTTATCACCCTCTGGTTCACCGTCGTGCAAGGAGTACTTCATGATACACAGATACAAGCTAATTGCAACTGGGGAGATCGGGAGAATGAATGTAGCAGTAGCATGCACATGTGAAGCCTAATTCAGCCGAACAAATTAATAACAAAGAAACAAGTTAGTCATCGCATTTTGTTTTAGCCTATACAGTAAATTCCAGATAACTCGAACTGACATTGCATTCCCTTTGCCCAATACATTCATATAAAAATGCCCACGATAATTTGAACATTCTCTATCTCGAGCCACTTCATTGGTCTTTGGAGGTTCGAGTTACCAGGAGTTTAATGTATCTCGTTGAGATCAATCTCAATTGCAAATTCTCTTTCACTACAACAAAGTGACAAAGCTACCTTTTTAGATAATTTTTAGTTTCACACTTAGTTTCATTAATTAGATAGAGAATCTTTTTTTTAATTCAGACTTATATGCACCGGGCTCTTTACCCACCGTCCATGCATAAAGACAAAGTATAACCCTATTTCTTACATAAATCTGAATATTTTGTGCTAAACTTCCTAAAACAAAAAATATGTTATGCAGAAAATTTCATACATTGGAAAGACAATTGTTTTTCACGAATACATGCTTTTGTACACATTCGATAAGTTATTTCATTAATTGTTTTATTCACCAAACATTATCCTACTCTGGAGATTATTCCATCTGGCATCCAAGAAGCCAAAAAATTAGTAGTCCCTTAGTCCGGTGCATAGGCAATTTCGACCGAATTATAATTATTTTTAAAACTAGATTACACAATTTTTTAAATCTGAACAAGCTGACGGCAGGCCATCGGTGAATTTTTAATATGAGACGTAATATTAGGAATATATTTATTGCTAGAATATTTATAAATTATCATATTATATTTATTACAACATATTATATTTATTACAACATATTATATTTATACGAAAATAAAATATTTAATATTTATTAACAATATATTTAATTAAGCTGTCTTGTTCAATTTGTGAATAGATTACATTCATATACAATTTTATTTAAAATTTTAATCTAGACACCATTATCAAATCCCCTCCAACTTCCAACCAAATTCATGATATAACTTCAGGGTCTCGTTCCTAAAGCGAAATCTTAATACCAGTTGCTTTAAATGCGAAGCCCAACAAAATTGTGAAAGCTTAAATTGAGCTACATGAGTGGTACAGCCTTTAAAAGTATGACACGCTTAGCAATCTGCTTCCCCCTTCAAATAACAGGGTTTATCTATCATCGAATTAGATTTTTAGACTTTTAAATATTGGTACTTTTATCAATGCATAGTCCTTTATCAAATTATTAGCCTACAAATTACACGCCAAAACGACTATATTTATATGAAAATTATATGAACAATCTTATGAACATTAAATGCGATCAGTAAATTGTGTTATCTTTTTGATTGTTCAGGCTTTATAGTACCGGGTGACTTCAACATTGAAATTATAATGAAATTATATTGTTAGGAAACGGAATGTTTTTGAACGCTAAAAAACATATACAAGGAATTTTCGCAATAAAAACTTACACTTTTTTAACTTTTGGTTAAGAGTTGAAAAGTAGCATATAAAAAAAGGCCTATGTTTGGACGCTGGCCATTATAAATCATTAGCAATTTCTCTCAATTAAAACTGGGCAAATGATATGATCAAGAGAAAGGCTACACTGGGTACAAGAGACTTAAAGAGTCGAACGATTAAAAATGGGGAAAAGGAATTGCGAAGGAAAATGGGAAAGGAAAGGAGAAACTTTTCTCGCTCTTCCTTTTACCCGCTTTTGATCCTTTGACTCTCTGAGGCTCTGGTATCCAAAGCAGTGAAGACTGAAAACATCAACCGCCAAAATATGTCATTACCTTTTTCTTGGATTGCACACCCTGCTTGGCCGTTTTTGCGCTGCTCCTATGCAATGTAAACATAGGATAAAAATCAACGATTGGAAGAATACATTAATATGTTATTAAAATTTCTATAGCATTTTATGGGCTAGAAAGTCCTTTCTGCAGGCAGACAATCTAAATTTTAGAAATACATCAGCATAAAAGAAATCACTCCGAAAAAACACTTCTCATCCGACAATCTTCAGAGTATCAAAAGTCAGATAACAACCAAGATTCAAAGATTGTCATTATTCAACTTTTCACACTCTGACTGGAGTCAGACGAAAATATTAGAAGCGAAATGCCCGGTTTGTCGTACAATGCGTGAAATTCTGAAGTTCGAGAAGCTTTTTAGTGTAGCATTTCATCATATTATGTCCGAACTCCATGGAAGTCCTTTCATGAACAGTAACAGGGGGTAAGGGTGTGAAATATCCAAAAGATTGCATTAATTTAATGTATTAAGGTATTGCATTAAAGACGAAGAAATTAGGCATTATGCATTGTTCCACAAAGTAAGTAGTAGTTTTTTGATTTTATAGGTTTGGTTTCAAAAATCGCTTCGCAATTCCTTTCCCCTGTCCTTCATCTTTCGACCCTCTAAGGCTCTGGTACCCAGGATACAAAATTGGAGTTGTTGGACTATCTTTAGCTTAAATTATTTAGCAACACTCTTCTCTATAACTATATAAAGCGTTATTTACATGAGTAAATTCTTTTTGACAAATTATTCTTGATGGTTTTTCTTTGCTGGTGTAGATAACTTGGCAAATGAATTTGACAATCGCATCTAATCTTTAGACCAATCATTCGTTCAGTTTGTTGGTCAGTTCGAGTGCTACCGCTTCCGCAAGGTTAGTTTTGGTAGAGAAAGTCACACCCATACTTTGTGGATTTCTTTTTGTTCTCAAACCAAGTTTCTTGCCGGCCCTTTGGCCTGCCCGTGATGGTGGCTGGCCTGCCCGTGATGGTGGCTGGCCTGCCCGTGATGGTGGCTGGCCTGCCCGTGATGGTGGCTGGCCTGCCCGTGATGGTGGCTGGCCTGCCCGTGATGGTGGCTGGCCTGCCCGTGATGGTGGCTGGCCTGCCCGTGATGGTGGCTGACCTTTCGCTAAACACATGCCTTTATCTTTCCGGTTTTTATAAACTCATTGCTATACACAAACAGGGCCGCGGCTACTTAAAAAGTAAGGGGGCGGGAGACTTTTTTGTCCGTTGACGGAGCCATTTGCCTTAAATCAAAATCTTTATAACGGAAAAGTACAGATTACACTTGGTCTATCTAAACGATCAACGTTAATAATTTTCGAAAAAACTTATTGCCAATCTACATGAAAAAGAACAATTTAAGGAAGCTTCTAATTTGACACGTGTTCATTTGCCTGCTGAACATTCTTGCTACAAATGAAAACAGTAGCAACTATTTCAAGATATATTGTCCCATTGCATTTGAAAACATATCGAGAAAAGCATTATTTACATTCACAAATCATGGAGATGGGTCTCATCCATCCCTATAAATGGGTGCCAAGTCTATGAACCTGAGAAATGCAAAGCTGTTTTAAATTCTAATATCATTTTTCAATTGTTGTCACCAGATAAAAAATGCTTAAAAACTTTTATCACAAAAGGGCCATTTGGAATCCTCGCATGCATTGAATCGACTAAAATCAGCCTTCAAACACGACATAAACTAGAGAAACAAAAAAAAATGGCACAAGAAAACGTGTTATTGTACCCCCCCCCCTACAATTGATCTCAAGAACCCCCCCCTCCTTACAGATGATCTCAAGAAAATCCTCTTATCATGAGATGCAAGAAAAGCTAGACGTACACATTTTTGCAGGAAAAGTAAAAAAGTCACTTACTGTTTTCAGCCAGGACAGGTGGTTGCCTGTCTTCCTCATCTGACAGCAAGCCATGGGTACTATGTTCAGCGGCAGATTTCTGAATATCAAAAGATGCATTCTTCAGTATTCGTTCTAGGTTCTGATTGACTCGGTCTCTGACTTCTTCAGGAATCTAAAAGTGAAGAATCAGTTTCAAAAATAAAAAACTCCCAAAAAATTTCACAATACACAGTGCATTAAGTAGAATTCTTCGAGATTACTATTAAACATACTTGATTTGAGATCTGCTGAGGGCGATGGTGAAATTTTACTTCGCTAGACTACAACATTTCACCTTAAATTAACGATTCAATTTGCAATTCACTTGAAGACTATTTGCAAAGAGCAAGTGATGCTCCTTATGAATATAGGATTGGACCAAATACAAATAATAGATTGAGTATGCTTACAATTTCAATCGGGTGCAATAGAGGCCTTTTTCACAATCGAAAGTTTCTGCTTCTTTCTTTTTAAAGTAAATACTTAGACTTAAACAAGCAAAAAAACTTGACAATATAAATTAAACAAAACTCAAATGTACAAAAAATCAAACAATCATGTTTGCATACGGGGAATCTCTAAATGAGGAGCTTTCTTGATAGTCAAAACTTATCGAGAAAAGAGCGCACTCACTCAGCCCGAAAATTACAGGATTTTGCGAAGAAAGAAAGGACCAACCACTGAAAATATCCTTTCTACAATTTCTTTAAAATTTCTGAAATTTACTTGGCTTGCTTAGCTGAGAAAGTCTTCGTTTTGTCGTGTTCCAAGGCATGGCAATTAGAATAAAAAAGAACAACGGGACAGATATTAGCTAGATAAAATCATTTCAAGTATAGACCAATTATGCTTCCTTTAAATAAACCAACCTTCTTTAATTATGTTATTAATTAGCCAGTATTACTCTTCAAAAAAATATATTTTTCTTGAGAAAGGAGTACACAATTCATTTTTCATAGGCCTTTCACAATTGTACGTTCATAATTGCATAGAACAGTAATATTCTACGACTAAAAACTTTGTTGTCTCACAATCCTCAAAGTGTGATGATAATTGAAAGAAAAATAGCTTCATCCGGGTGTGGATTTAATTTACAACAGGGTTTTTAGGCAGCCGTACTATTTAACTAGACTTGCGTGTTGAAAGGATTAATTTGAGGTATCGGCTTTACAAACTTACAGGTTTTGCCACAGTAAGAACAAACCAGCAATAAAAATTGATGAATAGTGATTTTGGCCTGAACTTTTCTTAAGCCTGCATAAACATGTTCTTCGCTGGTTATGTTTTTTTTTATATTTGTATTCGCACGAAGAAGTGTCACATTTGTGCTAAGAAGAAACTGCTCTGGTGTTCACCAGCCTTGATATGAATATTCAGTAGATAAGAATCTCCGGCCAAATATTAACGAACAAAACTCACACGCACCTTACGTCTGCTTATATCAATATTGGATATCTTGCCTACGATTGAAAAATTCCATATAATGCAGGGTAAAAGGCTGGAAACAAACATAAACAATGCACTTACGGAGCAATGGACAAAAGCATGCTCTGAATATGCGTCATAATAACAGAAACAGTTGAAACAGCTTGACCATATCCTCGTTATATTTTGCTACACTAAAACTTGATTCTTTTAATATCACTGTATACGACATGCATAACTTCAAATATTCCAAAGATTCTACCATGTATCATAGCCATTTTTGCCCAACTTAGGAATGACGCTTGGAGTTAATTTGTCATAAGTCACCATTGATTGAGGAAAAGTGAATAAAAAATTACATGCCGCATGTTGACTATTTGTCCCCTTCCTCATTGCATGTTATTACTAAAATGATTCACTGCACGCTCACCTCTTCTTTTGACCAAATTTGATGACTTTGAGTTTCCGAAAATGCCTCTTATTCCAGTCTATTATGGACAAATAGAGAGAGACAAGGTCAAAGGAAAGAAAGTATAATGGACGCAATAAAATGAGAGGTAGTGGAATGTTATCTTAAGCAACTTTAGACAGAAAGAAACTAGCGTGAATTCTATAAATGTAAGTAACTTAACCGCCATAGTTGAGTATTAATAATTCTTAATAGAAAAAATACACTTTACCAGCGTAAGTAAACAAAGAAACTAAACGAAAGTGAAACAAAGTATTTCTCCATAAGGACTCTAACCGTAAGTCTTCCACTTGTGATGTATCCGGTTTTAGGAACTGGTGGATTTTTCAAATCTCTTGACGCCTAAAGAAAAATAACATTAAAAATTATACGCTGAGGTAGATTACAATTGGCCTTTAATTTTAGAGGCTTGTATGTGGATTTAATTAAAGATTGCAAAGTATGTCCTTTATCCTCATGCGCTCCCAGATTCTCAAATTTTTGATTCTAGAAATTCCGCGAGGGTGGCTTAGTTGTTAGAGGATAGCTCAGTTGTTAGAGGCGCTGGCTACAGACCCAAGAATCCGTGGTTCGAGTCCCTCGCATGACCAAACTTTCACCCAGAGTGAGGAGATTCGCCAGCTCTCTGTAATTCCAGGCGTAGGAATCATGGGGTGTGGTCACATCGAGAGGAAGGACTAGGACACTGCTCTGTAAGCATAAGCTTCTCAGTGTCCTAGAAACTACCTTCGGATGCTAGATAGAAACAAATACGAATACAAATTCACTGCCATCCAACCCATTACAAAGCCGCTGGAAGCAGAACACTGGATCCGTTAACAACAGACAACTTGTGCTGTCTGCCCAGTATAACAGAATGGTGAATGAGAACCATCCCCCTTCTAAAATGAATGAGAACCATCCAAAGAAAGTGCAACCCAGCTTTAAAACAAGGAAGGGTGAGAACTTGGCATTTGGCTATCTTCAGAGTTTCTTTAAATATGTCCATTAAATGACATGAAAAAAGTATTGAAAGAAAGTTATTTTCTTGATAACATACAACATAAAAGGATCTGGTTTAGGGGGATGTCACACCCTAAAAAAGATGAAAACGATCAAAATGATAACGCAGAAGAGCTGGTCCTGATTTATGTCAACAGAAGACGATTCACTCTTTCCCGACATTGATTTAGCAAAACTTATTGATTTTTATTGAACACTTTTTCTAATCTAGTCTTCTAAAACCAATTCTTTAGAGAAGTTATTCTTTAGAGCATTAAACAACAAAGACTGCAGTATAAATCTGTTACCTATGTCTGTTAAACATCCTTTGATTAAGAAGTATGTGTAATACCAAACAGACATAAATAGTACAAGCATTTAACTTCTTCTAAATTTCTTTTCAAAATAATTAAACCATTTATATTTAGGAGAATAATTTATAATAAGCTCTGCAATGAAGGTTCTAAATAAAGGCTCTGCAACTAAACCAGAAATCCTTACCCCTGTTAAGTGGCATTTTTAGAGGGTCCAAGGGGGCAATCTCTCTAGGACCTGAGCTTATGGTAGCCAGAGAGTGGCCCTGCACCAAAGAAAAAAGAAAAGATTTTGAAGAACAAGGGACCTACAGATGTTTTCGGCCATGGGCCTCACACTCCTTAAAACTGCTGCTGCCCCTATTACAAAAAAAACCAACTTACAGCAGTATCGATAACAGTCCTTGAAGCTCTGTGGTTGCTCATCACATCCTTTTTCTCCTCAATCTTCTATAATCATGATGAAATTTCAAATCATTGATTTACAAAATATCAGGATCTGACCTAATTCCATTTTTGACAGGCGGTAGTTGTAGTGCTAATACATAGTTATTACAGAAGAAGTGCTAATACATACTCAAATAGGAATAACTAAATATTCCTCTCTCTTAGTTTTCTGCTCAGAATCACTAATCCTGAATTATTAGGAAACTACTCTAGTCTCTAATCAGAAATGTGTATTTGTCTCTAATCACAAGGACATCATAAATGTCATAAGGACATGTCATGAAACATAGACACAAGAGAACCATCTTTCCTAAAAATACAGCACTCTGCCTTGAGTTGACATGTGGGATATCAGTTTTGAAAGTTAAGTAAATAATATATTATAACATTTCCCTGGGCAGCAAACTTTTCCCATAAATGTAGTAACAGATTTTGCATGACAAAGGAAAGACTGTAATGGCAGTCAAGGGTATCACATTTTGTGGATATAAGCATAATTTCACTATAGGTTGTACCTTTCTATCCTTGTGAGTACTTCTCTTTGATTTTCTTTTGTTTGATGTTGCTTTGCTTTGAAACTGGCCTATTTTTGATTTCCTCAAGTTCAGGTTAGCAGAATTTTCTTTTGAGTCATCATACTCAATGAACTCTTCTTCACTTGATGAATAATCAAGTTGTTTTAGAATCTCTAAAATGGCACGTGATTAAAAAATAAATGCTTTTAAATTGTAAGTTATATAGCAAGTCACAAGAAGTGCATGATTAAAGGGCTATGAATCTAACTCAAATATATTTTCATATCTGTATTGTCTTCTTCTTATCTGCAATCTTGATGGCTGAAAACTGGGCTTCATAGCTAGTTGGAGAAAAACAATTACATTTGACCTTTGAAAAATGAGAATCTTATTTTGAAAAAAATATACTAGAGAAGTGGTAGATGAAAGTTTCAATTCTTAAAAAATGGATAAAAAATTACCAACCTTTTTCTGCAATCATTTTTCTCAGGGCATATCACAACCACAGAACAACAACTGACCACAGACAACAGCACTGCAACATAAAGGTATTACAGAGTCAATAGTAGGCAATTATTATTTGTTCAAATTCTGTGGTCTGGCTTGAAGTTATAACAATGGAGGATATAGTGCTATGTATATATATTTTGGTGTTGCTAGCTTCCAGATTGCAGTAGATTCAATATATGCATCAGAGTATAAATAAACTTTGATTCAATGAGGTTCTTGATCTCATCACACAAAGAACAAAAAGGAAATTTGGGCATTTTCTTCTGCAGCTTTGGTTCTGTTGCCAAAATCCACTTTTCTCTTCTTAGATAGACAGAAAGTACCTATGACGTACAGTAATGAACCAAAACTTTGTGCACTTCAAAGTTTATATGTGCATCTGAACCTTATTGTTCAATGCAGTCCCCGAGAGTTCTTCAATTAGCTACTTATGGATGCGTGTTTGTTGCTTTCTGCTCTGGTTATTTATTTAACAAGGGCCTCTTGGTTGCCCAGATATTTGCAAAACAAAAGAGTTTTTGCACAAACTTTTCCTGGACCTGGTGTACCTGGCTTGGGCCTAACGACATCACATGAAGGGATTAAACATAACGAAATTGACAGGGCAGCTCCTTAAAAATTTCTTCCAAAAATATGGCATAACAAGTAGGAATTCTATCAAAATGAAGCTATTTACCCTTACAACAAACTTAACAAACAAACTTAGCTATACCCCAATATAAGCACAAGGCTGAACTTAAATTGACGACCAGCGGATTTTGAGAACGACCCTCTTCCCTCGCATTATTGGAAGCATTTCATTTCATAAGGGCTTGCTACAGTATGACTTGCTAAAAATACTTCAAAAGCAAAACAATACCTTCAAAGGTAAAATGAAATTGTCGTTTATTGCAGATCAAATGCACCATCATAAAAATTTGTTTTCAATGTCGCCATTTCATCAATTCCCGCGTTTTCCTTGCTACTTAAAAGGGCGAATGGAAAACTAGGTCCCAATCCCCTGGTAACACTAAACGGACTTGAAAATATTTTGAACTGGCTTTCTAAAGAATGAAAAGATAAGTTTTGTAAATTTAAGCTTTCTTTTTGACTTGATTCTTTTAGATTAAGCAGGATCTTGCCCTATTTATGAGAAATTAAACCAATATCCAGTTATTTCTGGGAGGAGGCTGGGTCAAATAAAATGTCTCATAGGAGAAGTTTGTGCAAAAACTCTTTTGTTTTGCAAAATATCTATGCAACCAAGAGGCCCTTGTTAAAAAAAATAACCATAGCAGAAAGCAACAAACACGCATCTATAAGAAGCTTATTGAAGAACTCTTGGGGACTGCATTGGCCCCTCCAGGCCCGAATTTGTTGAGAAGTGGGCGTTAGGTGGAGTGTGGCTTGCCAAAAGTCCTAAAAGATGAAGATATCAAATTTTTTAATACCTCTTCTCTAGATGAGTAGGGATGCTACTTGGCACAGGACCTTTTATTTGAAAAACAAGGGTCTTTTATTCCCAAAAGTTAGGGTCTTCAAGGCGATAACCTTTTCTCTGTTACACACCCCCAATGCATCAGCAACAACACGAGCAACAACGGCAGCATCAATATTTTTTATCATGGCGGACAAAAATTTGTAGGAACAGTTTCATCATGTGGAATTTGGCCTATAACACAGTGAAGGCCAAAATGTAGTGGTTTTGGACATGAAATCTAAATCCAAGGAAATTTTCCAATTGAGAGAATCGAAGTGATGCTGAAATCATTCTATTTCTCTATTATTACTGCTGGGATCAAGACGGCAACAAACCAAAGAATGATAGATTTGTAACGAAAGATGAGACAGCGAAACTTTTGCTACTACTCCCTCTTCATTATAATTGCTGTTCTTATTTTTGTGAATCTCTACTTCTTTAAAACAAGTGAGCTCAAGGCTCGACAGAAGGTGATGCGCCTAATCTCTTGTGCAATTAAATTTTGTTTATACCTGAATACGAAAAGAAAAAGCTCAAAATCATATTTATTAGAAATTAAATAATCGATTTTACGTTTCTACATGGACCTGTTAAAAGGCTATAAGCCTATATACAGAATTAGGTTATTCTTATAATTATCAAATAATTGTTATTTGCAAATACAATTTATAGAACTAAAGGTAAATTGAGAATAGTTCTGACTCAAGAAATGGTTCTCTTAGCTTATTGTAAGCGTTAGGGTAGCTGATGCTTCTTTAAATGTAGGGGCCAAGCCTAGTACTTAAAAAGAGAAGGGAATGTGAAGGGACATGTCTCTTTAAACTATTGATAATATGATGAGTTTTACCGAACCATACCAAAGCAGGCTGGGGGCCAAGTTATGTGAAAGAATTTTATGATATAAACACATCCATCGCTATAGGGGGGCATTTTATATTCAGCCTTTCAAAAAATTTCATTGCAAAAGGAGGAGTTTTTTGTCATCTAAGGGTACTTCTTTAGCAATTTTCCATTTTTTTGGCAAATAAAGGAGGGCTCATAAAATAATAATAATAATAAAATCGAATATTTTAACAGGATAACCTATCAGTACAATATGTACTGTTATCATTAGGGTCCTGATACTTAATAAATTAATGGTAAGATCTAAAAACGGATTACAAAAGTTCAATACAGTCCAATCTAAAGATAAAATAATTTTACATCAAATATTTCATCCACTTTGTTGGCAAATGGGACTTGGAAAACCCCCTCTTGAGCATAATATGGCTGAATATAAAACACTGGAAATTAACTGAAAGCTGAAGCATTGAATCTTTGGCTTATTTGTCAAAAGGAATTTTCCATGGGATAAACCAGTTACAATGACTTGAAAACTTTCAGTTTGCTTTTTATTTCATTATCACAATTTTTAGCTAACTATGTAACATAATAAGGTACCTTGAGTTCAAGAGGTAAAACTTTTTGCTTTTTATAGGAAAAGTTTCCATCCTCCATTCTATTCCAAAACCTACCATCAGACTCCACTGGATTATACAGAACCTGGCAAATATTTAAGAAGATTTTGCAAGAAAGTTCTAGCATTGATGTAACAATAATCTCACAAACATCTGTACAGAATTTGTTTAATTTGCAACATCTTGTAAAATATTGGGATGGTCCAGTCTCTGTAAGTATGTATCACTCAATTTTTTCTTGAAACTTTTTATGTTTTTTAAAGATTGAAAAGAAATAAGGAAACTCAGTGGATTGTAGATACAAAGCTCCAGAAAGTATCACAACCTTTGTAATTTGTTATTTGTATGTGCTGGAAATACATATTTTTTATTCAAATATAAAAATCTAAGATAAACAAAATTACTCAGGTTTCCATGATACAAGGTTACATTACAAGGCTATAAGATGTTGGATGAGCCAGCTTTATTTGCTGAAAAGTTTGAAAGTGACTGACAAAGCACCCCTAGATGGCAAAAAATCCATATTTTTGAAACAAAATTCTGTGTATTGAGTGTGACACCCCTCACACCCCCCCATGACTACAGCCCTTATCATAACTACACTGTAGCCCTTACATAAAAAATACAACTAAATTACAGCAAATCTTTAACTACAAAGAGAGTGCTTTAACTTAACTGATATGACGTTTTATATTTGTTGTCAGAATAAGATTGACAGTGATGCTGAAAATAAAAACATCAAGCAAGATAACAGCAACAACTATTCCTGCAACTGTTTACTTTCAGGAGTCCTTATTGCTTAAGACATCTTTTCAATGCTGCCAAATTTTGATAATTCTTTCATTTCAACCTAGATAGCAATATTTATGTTTTAATTAAGCTGAGAGATCTGCAGGCTATAACTGAAAAATGTTTTTGTCATTTTTTCTAGTTAAAGCAAACTTCATGATAAAGCATTTCTTGAAGTTTCCCTTTCCTTTCAGGTGTATTTGCACCAGGTGAAGAAATTTCTACTGCTATAGAAGCTATATACTCACTGAGACAATGTAATTATGCCATCAAAAGAAATTTGGACTTCTCTCTAGTTTTGGCATTGTCCCACCCACCAAGACACAATGATTTAGCTGTTTATTTGCAAAAGGTTGCTAACCATCCATATGTGTGTCCAGTCAGGATTTTGTCTAAAGATTCTAGGGAACTGATTAACTATGGCAATCTAAATGTAAGTGGTGTATTTCAATTTCTAGTTTATTGGTTGTTTACAGTTTAGATGTCTGCTTTCTCTCTACCAAGCAGCACATGAGTGTAAGAATAAATCTGTATTTTTTGCTTGCAGGTTCCTTACCCTGTAAATTTGCTGCGGAATGTTGCGATTGCGAATTCTGTTACGTCACATATTCTAGTGATTGACATTGACATGGTACCATCTGCCAATCTTAGACAACATTTCCAACGGACATATCCCATGATTCAAAGGGAAAACGGAGGTACCTGTAGTTGAATCTTGTTTTTAAACATTAGATATGAATATGATTGATTTCAAATTTGAAGCTACTTGAACTGTTATGAACTTTGCCTGAAATATACTCTCAGTTTATTCGTGCGATTTCTCGCAAATTAAAGTTATTTTCTGGTCATAAATAAAAATCTGAGAGAGTGACTAAATTTGTTCATGTGACTAAATATGTTAATGTGAGTAAGTTTGTCCGCGATTTTATTTTTCCCCGTTGTTCGTTACTCCACCGGTATTTTGCCCGATTTCGTGTACCCTTTAGAGAATAGTGAATGATTCGAAAACTGAATCGTGTAATAATGACAAGATTTGGGAATCTGGACATTTACCAATAATTTATACGTGTGTCTTTCATTCATTCTTCTAATGTGATATGAACTTGTAAATGATATCAGAGTCTCACTTGCATTCGTTTGACCTGAAAATTTCCAGCCCCTGAAACAAGAGCTAACTAGATTTGACCTAAATATTGACAGTTTTTTATGTTATTGTACCATTTATAACTATATTGTTTTTGTTTCAGTTTATGTTTTGCCTACATTCGAACTCAGGGAAGGAATTGCTGACCCAGAAACAAAAGATCAGCTAATCAGATTATGGGATCTTGGTGAAGCAAGGCCGTTTTACGAGCAAGTGTGCTGGAAATGCCAAAAACACACTGATTACAATAGATGGAAAAAGTAAGTTGCCCTTAGTGAAATAAATTATATCGTTATTCAATGCATTACCAAATCACCCCTATAAACTTCAAGTTAGCCCTAGTACAAGACACAGCTACTGTGTGTGACAGACAGCAAGCATGTGTGGAAAAGCCTTTTACGTTCTTCTTATATTTTAAATTTAGGTATAAATATTTGTTTAAAGGACTAAACGCCGTTTAGGAAACATCTTTACGGTGTGTCAATGATTAGAATGGTACTTTGCAAATGTAATTGTCGTTTGGGTCTTTCTCCTTTGATAAAAAGTTAAACATTTTAGTCTAGGTTGCGTTTCTGAAAACTGGCAAGTTAATCTCCTCTATACAAACCCTTACAGCAATGAATTATAATGTTATTCTGCTTCACTTGGATTTACTTACAGAATTTGAGAAGCAATTCAAACAGCTTCAACAGGGTAACTGATTGATGATGCCTTTTTGGACTTGGATCATAACGCGTAAAAGAACGCTATGTAAAGTTGCTAGATATATTACAAATTAGCTGATATACGGCCATTTGGGAATTTTTTGTTTTTCAAATCGCTGCAATACTTTAATAGTAATCCATTTGTAAAATTCGAGTTCTTTACTGGTTATATCTTGGCCAATTGGGGAAATTTTTCCACTCTTGATGATATTTCATGGACCGTTTAAAGGTTTTGTGATCATGAATCAAAATTTTAGATACTTTCGATGTTATCACTTACGAACTTTACTAAAGTTTCTTTCTCTGTAGATCATCATCTGCGGCGTTATCTGTGAGTTACAGAATTGAATGGAAAGATCCTTGGGAGCCGTTTTTCATTGCTGATAGAAATACGGCGGTGTACGATGAAAGATTCAAGCAAGTGAGTCTAAATCTGTCCTCCTAGCCTAAACGTTTGATACCTTCGTTTTACTTAACTTCACATGTGTGAAATTTTTGAACTTGTTGGTAAGTCAAATGTGAACTATTTAGTGCCTAGTAAAATTCCATGTTGCATAAAAAAGTCTTATTCAGTTTTGATCAGGGCTGGAATTAAGGGGTGCTAGATTTTTATTGGATTTCTGTCTCCCAGTTTTTGACTTTAAGACAAGGAACTAAATAAAGTAAATTTTTGCATTATTTTGTTACTGCTGACTACCGAAACATACTTTTTACCGAGTCGAAGCAAAATTTACTGAAGGACATAAAGTTATTGGGGGGGATATCCCCACACCCTCCCGGTGAATCCATCACTGGTTGTGATACTTGGTAAATTATTGAATGTCTTAGCTGGGGTCTCAGTCAGCAGAGGTCTCGGTCAGCTGCTGCAACAGCCAAGCCAATGGTTTTAAGAACTTCAGGAAAAATGCATACTGCTCGAGTTTACCGCTCATAAATGTTTATGCTTGATTAAAGAATAACACATTCCTTTGAAAGCAGCCATTTGAATGTTGAAATATTTGTTTCAATTGCAGTATGGTTTCAATCGAATAAGTCAAGTCTGTGAAATGCACATCTCTGGCTATGACTTCTACGTTCTTGATAATGCCTTCCTAATACACCATGGTTTCAAGGAGAAGACTCTTTTTCACAAGTCAAAGGATGATGAGAATGCCATGAACAGGGACCACTTCAGAGTATTCAAACATGAACTCAAAGTGAAATACCCTGAATCGAAAAGGCAATGCTGATTATTCTTAAAGAGTTTAATGCTTGATAAGCAAATGGGCAATTATTGGTGAAACAAACGGAGCAGCTAAGCTAAGAATTTCTTGCTTAAACAAAAGATTTTGCTGTTGATTTTTCCCTTCTTTTCTCTTATTGACCAACCAACCCCCCCCCCACACTCCTTAAGCCATCCATACAAGAGATAATGAAGTGGGAGAGACTTAGTTCAACAACCTGGTTATGCTCTCGGTTCTGCAACTTTTCACTCGTCTCCAAAGGGAAACGACTATAACCAAAGAAGGATTTGCTAGTCTTTTAGATGTGCTTACTCTCCAATTAAGGGCAAGATGGCCGAAGTTTGTCGCCAGATTGTAATTGCACGTTCCAATTTTTCTACATAGCTGTTTCAATTCATTTATGAAAAAATAAATAAAGCCATGTAAAATCTCAATGAAAAATATCTGCCCCAGCGAATTTACTCTATCTGAGGAAAATCAGTAATTATACAAAAGCTGTTTTGACTTTTGTTGCAAAAGCTGTGTGAAAGAGATTGTCTTCTCTTCAGTGTGATTCTCTTCTTGTGGCTTCTGGGATTGGTGCACGGCCATTAATTTGAGCTTATTTTTTTACAAAGTTTGAAATATAGAGTTCATGTCGTCTAAAAATGTTAAACATGATTTTAATGCTTATTCGAGGACCTGGATCCCCTACCCCCGTGTGCTATTACCCTCTATCGTGTTATAAATTTTATCATCCTTTGTTGTCACCCAGTACTCGAAAAAACTTACGATATAATTTGTAAAATGTCTCAAAATTTATTACTTGTATGTTTTTACCGTGCCTTGTGTTTGCTTAACGTTTCATGCTTTTATGGATGCATGATGCAAAATAGCCTAAAAGGTTTACAAAAGTTCACTTTCTGAACTACAATGCTGTTCCATATTCATCTTGTGAGCACAATAAGCCCTTGGTGTGTAACAAACAATTTACTCCAAGATCATGCAACGGCATGAGTGAGATTGACTCCAGGAATAGCAATTCTTTTATCTGTGATGGTAGGGTATCAATATATTTAAGAATTTATAAAATTGCTTTTTGATAGAATAAACTGATGAGACCCAGTATGGTATCAGTTAGGAATATTTAAGCCTTGTTTGTTTAAAGAAGCAAAATGTGAGCTTTCACGCAGCTAGAGCCATTTCATTCGTAAGCAAACTCCAAATAAAAAATCAACTTTTGCTGTTCAGGGGCACACAGGAAGTTTCAACGTTTGTATGGGAGGTGGAGGCAAAAATAAAGTCATCCTACCAATATCGATAACGGAGCAGAATTTCCGACATCTTCTAACGATTCTGGTGCTTTACAGGGGCTGTAGTCCTCCCCCAGCTGCTGTTTACGTGGCCATGTAAGGTAATTGGGGTAAATGTGGTTGTCGTGGCCCTGAGGAATTTTTAGTACGTGGTTTAATGGTTTAACTTCGGTTTAACGTCGACAAAATGAATAAAGAAACATTTCTTAAAAAAAAACAGAGAAAGCAACTATGATCTGTATAGCCAACGTCCATGAAAGCTAACTTTTCTCAGTTTTTAAAAGAAACAACTACAGAAACTATTTTGATAGTCTATTTATTTTATCAAAGACAGTTTTTTTCAAACACCTTTTTCTGGAATAACTGAATTTGGGATTTTTAACAATTATTATGATATAACTTCTCTTCTGCGTTCTTTGCTATGCAAAAACATTGTTTCTGTGTTGACATTCCCTGTCCCTGTTTGTAAAGATTATAAGCATTAAAGGTCCTCCCCGTTTGTATTGAACCCTCCATCTATTTTTTATCCCCCTATTGATAAGCGGGGGTCTGTTTACGGTATGATCCTTGACATCACTGGATGTGCTGATATAATATAAAGAACTTCAAAGGTAGCTTCCGATTACCGATCGCAAAATCCAGAACTGACTACGTCATTTCACTCTAACTTGGGCCTATTCCCCCTGTTGCTTGAACGACGACGTCCAGATTAAGGTTAACTATCTTGTAACGAGTAGTTTGTGCAGACAAGCATACAAACGACGGCAATTATAGGAGAAAAAGATTTCGCTTGTTTAGTCAAAGAGGACAATTTGCAAAAACCGTAGAATCAAAAATCCAAGTAGGAGGTGAGTTATAAAACATTTTTTTATCTAGCTTTTTAGAAAAGCGGTACGCCACAAAAGTTCAATCACTAGGTTTTATATACAAAATTAGACATTGTGCCTTGAGAAATAGCCTATAAAAGGATTGATTTTCAGACGTTTTCAATTTTCACAAGAATTTCAGTCCTTTTTGTTTATAGTTCAGGCTCGCTTTATCTATTTGCCCCCTGCTTGTTTTGATTTTTTGGGCCCTGGCTGCTTTAGTTAGGGCAAGGTAGAAAGTGGGAGATAGCTTTATGGGAGATAGCAAGGTAGAATGTTAAGAGAAGTTTAACATCTTACCAAACATGGAAAGGAAGACATTTCGTAAATATATAGGAAATATTGAGCTGAGCTGACGAAAATAAGAAATTAAGAACCCCGAGGTGACATTGTTCAAGCTTTTCCATAGGTATTTTGTTGCATTTTTCTAGCCTTTTGATTTACTGTCGCTTACAGCGAAAAAGTTGCGACGTCGTTGCAGTTGTTTTCAATTCCATTCTTCAGAATGTCGCTTTGAATAATGTTTTGTTATTTGAATGCTGTTTTGTTGTTCAAATGTTGACTTAGATATGTCTAGCCTACTACCCTAGGGTGCAACATACAAACGTAAAAGAGTTACTTTTCATTTACGAATATGGTGAATAGTTTGGTATAATTTACATATTGCAGCGTTATATGGCTCATTGGTGAATCAATGATATCATGTGCTTTTTATCATCATGGGGTTGGACTATGAAACATGACATTACTATAATTTTAAAATGAGCATGAATACACAATAAAGCCATTTCCTTACCTAATAATGCTTGCCCTAATCATAATTATAATTAGAGTCATGTCGAGAACCAAAGTACGCACTCATGACTCATAATATTTAAGCATTCAATGATCTTTTTTAGAAATCGTTTGATTGATTTTCATACCCCCTCCTCCCCCTTCAAAATTCAATGTTGAAGTACATATGCTTCAACTTTGAATGGGAGGAAGGGGGTATATGTTGGTATGAAGGCGAGAACAAAAATGTCCTATCTAGCTTCTACTACAAAGCGCATATCTGAATGGAACCAACTGGATCCTGAAACCCAGCTCGCGCCGTCTGTTGCAGTTTTTAAGACTTAAGTTTTTAAGACGTTTCATCTTTTACAAATGATTCATCCTCCAGTAAAATTGTTTTTGGTATTCATGACCAATAGGCTTGTTGTAACTTCCTCAGCTATGTTTCGGTCTCAATAATTAAATTGTCACAAATTCAAGCACAACTTCAGAGATACCGTGAACCCTATGTGCCCAGCAAACGATGGCATAGAGGATACGAAGCTCTTTTGAAGCACTTGCTGGATTGTCAAGATTACCACGACCATTTGATCAAATCAACCTTCTTTCAAATAAAATCAAAATAGAACGTCAATGGCGACTAGAGCCCATCTGATGACATTCATGAAAATAATTATTCATAAACGCTATTCATATGAAAATTTAACGTAAATTTGACTGTAATTTTGTTCTGTAAAACATGTTTCAGTCAACATGTAGTATGTAGTGACCATTTTCGAACGTTATCATTTCGTCCATTGTATCATAGTCATTAACACCGTCCATTGTCTCTGTATCCACATTGACGTAATCAACAACATTAGCTCCCCAAGCGGTTTAGCCCCCTCATTCTGCAACATGCTCCGCTGTCCTCGTAAACATGCCAAAAGAAGTGCAGCCATTCCTGCTTCTAGAGCATAGAAACGTTCTAATGTCTTTTTTCGTACGTATAAAGATTACTTACGTTCTGATGGCTTGCCATTAAATTTGAGCCTCCCTTGGAAAAAATTTAAGTCTGTTTCTATGCCTTGTAGTGAAGTAAAGTAGTTAAAGTAATGTCTAAGGTATCTCGTCGTGTTAGATCAGTGGCGGATTTAAGGGGGGGGGACCAGGGGCAGTTGCCCCTCCCTCGACGAGTTGAAGCAAGTGAGGTTGTGCGCCCCTTTTGAAGAATGAGAATCAGGTGAAAATGTTTCTGAGACCAATAGGTTAATTTGCTTCAAGGATTACTTTAAAGTTATGTTGTTTATTCCGAAAATGGATCTGAAATTGTTGTATAAGCGTTCTCACATCATCAATTTTTGAAAAATTTTCAGCGCCCCCATTACCAACTGCCCCCCTTCAAGTTTGCTCTGGATCCCCCCCTGTGTAAGATCAGGGGTGCCGGAACGACCAAGAGGCAAGGAGCAATTCTTTTCTAAATGTCATTTTGTTTCGATCATTTGTAGATACCTTAAAAATCGGTACAAACGGCCGGTGTTAAAGGCGCTTCTATGAAAAGGGCATTTTGGCCCCAATTGCCCCTTCTATCAAAAGGCAGCAGGGGCGGTTGACTCCCCACGCCCCCTCTCCGGCGTCCCTGTGTAAGACTCTAATTAGGGATTTATCTCAACGCTCTTAGTTATGTTGGAGACATTGCTTAGAGCATCGTTACTAAAGGAAAATGCGACTGATGTAGTTAGAATACCTAAAGGCTTGGTCATCGCGTAGCTGAGTGGTTAGAGAAATTGTTAGTCATCAGTCACGACCTGAGAAGCTGTACGACGAGATAGTGTGCCGCAGTGCATGTGAACCATTTGTGTGCAAGTGCTTGTGATGTCAGTTTTTCGTAATTGCAATCTGTGCAGTGGCGGTTTTACGGAGGGTCTAGGGGACCATGACCTCAGGCCCCGCGCTTATGATAGCCAAAAGTTACCCTACACCTAAGAAAAAAGATTGAAATTGAAAAAACAAGGGCCCGCAGATGATTTTGGCCCCGGGCCCTGCAATCCCTAAAACCGTCACAGACTATCTGTGGTTAATCAGATAGCGACCTTGAGTTGAGTGTTGCTTGAAGATTGTAGACGTTCAGAGTTTGATAGATTATCTTTGTGGCGTAAGCAATGTATCTTAAACCTTGACCAGCATAGTAAGGAGACGATTCTCTATAAACATTAATATAAAACAGTCTCTTTCATATTCATCTTTTTGGCATTTTTGATACCCTAATGAAATTTTGCTAATTACTCATTAAAACTTGGAGCAGCTGTCTGTTTTGCAGCAAAAGTCAAAACTTGGGGAAACGTCTTCTATCAACAGAAGATTTTTATCATTCGAGTTTCATCAGCTATCACCTATCACAATAAATCTTTACAACGAAAGACTAATATATTGGCAGATATTTTGCTTCTTTTAGAAACTTAGACTAAAATATGGCCAGCCCAAGTCATTAGCAAAACTTGCGCACTGCATGGTTGTAATTTTGATTCAAACTATTTACAGTTGAAGAAAGGGAGCTGCTTTTATTTTTGAAATATTTCGCTTTTGTGAGTTAAGCGTTTTCCTGCGATTTCGCTCGTAGATTCGCTGCATGGGAATCAGCCTTATTGCAACCTGGCTTACTTAATGTCATTAGAATGTTCTGCTTGTATATTAAAGGACAAGTGACACACTTTTCACCCTATCTTTTCTTTTCATTATCTTAAAGATCATCATTTAGAAGTGAGTTTTTCCTGGTTTAGAACAAAAAATCTAATCAAGGGGCGCAGGGGGCGCGTTTTTGCTTTTTATCACGTGACCCTATGACGTACATTGTGATAACTCGGAATTTTCCTATCATTAATAGAGAGTTTACGAAACACGACGCAACAGGTCCAGACGAACTGAATTCGTTTAGAAGCGTGTTGTAAACGTTCATATTGCATTGTATACCAGTAGCAGCAATAACAAATTATCACAATCTACGTCACGGTGTCACGTGATTCATTTCCCGCCATAATTTAAAAGGGTTTTTAAGTAGGAAAATGAAATCAGAAAGAAAAAATATTTCAACGCCACTCTCATACAGCATTTTACTTTAAGTTAAAAGAAGAAACAAATTTGGCGCCAAAAGCGTGTCACTTGTCCTTATATTAAAGTCGAGACAGGGCACTGAAGGTTTTATTCTTAATATTTCAGAGCATGGAGAAAGCTGGAAGTGATTTTGAGAGCCTGAGAGCTAAGGAGATGCGCGACAAGCTTGAAGAACTGAAGACAAAGTATGGATTTCGAGAGCCGGATAGAGGAGATCTCGACAATGACGAAATAGAGTGGAGAAGCGGGAAGCCGGACTACACGTTGGCGAACTACGCATTTTTGACGGGAAAGACACAAAACCATGCCAAAGGTATGCGGTGTATTTGAAGTTGTATTTGTTACTACCTAGCTTTCTCTTTTCATGAAATGATACAATCTCACAAATTTCTGAACAACCAAATTATTAAAAAACTGAATTGTAAAAAAAATTAATACGTAATTAGGCTTTGTAAAATAAAGTATATTTTTTTTAAAACCAAGATTCTTCAATAGCGATCGTATAATCAGCAGCAACCAACAACTACAAAATGACGACTTCATTTAACGACAACTTCGACTGGACTGGACTTGCACTCAACGAACATACGCTTTTAACAACATGAGTGACGCACACAAAACCCTAATGACACAAATTAACGGCAAATGAACTAATAACAACTAAAAAGAGATGGCACGATGACAAACAAAATGGACCGACGCAAACATCGAAAGACATCCTCACTAACGATAACGAACCACAAACACGATGCACGACAGACAAAACAAGTTGTATAACATTACTCCCTCCTTCAAAGACAAGCCTCCTGGCTTGAATTATTCAGAGAGAGAAATGCAAATAGAACAACAAACAAAACAAGAAATTTAAAATAAAGTTAGTTCACAATACAGCTACTTCATGTAATATCTCTAAGCGGTTCTCCGTAGTCTTTTTTCAAATGTTTGTGTTTCCAATCCAGTTTGTGTTTCTCTTGGAAGGATTCTCTTTTATCAGCCATTTGTGATCTTTCAAGACAAATCTCTTTTCCAAGCGAAGAAACGTGCTCGTAAGATTCCATCTGATTCTGCCCTTGCGTTTCATAAGAATGATTAGGCACTGATGGAACAACATCAAACTTATAGGGCATTCTCCAATCCTTGAGTTCTCGATTTAACTCCCTCAAGTCCCTCATTTTGGCTTCCAGTCCATCGAGTGCGTTCTTAAATTTTGATACATACTGCAGGATCCCAAAGTTGATACTGTCTTTGACGTCAATAGCCTGGGCATATCGCCTGCCCCAGCAGTATTTTGAAACGTGGCCTATTCGTAAGCAGCTGTAACAAATAGGCCGTCCGTCCTCCCCTCTGTATACGTTTGTGCGGTTGGCGAAGGGGTTTCTTGCTTTTTCTTCAGCCAGCCTTATCTTTTCAGCCATATAAGCGATTACTTCTGTGACGATCTCTAATAAAATATCTTTCGATTGCTCCAACGACATCATTTTTTCAGCTCCAAATGAAGGTCGCGAGTTGTCACGTCGTGGTCACCAATGTAAAATAAAGTATATTTTTTTTAAAACCAAGATTCTTCAATAGCGATCGTATAATCAGCAGCAACCAACAACTACAAAATGACGACTTCATTTAACGACAACTTCGACTGGACTGGACTTGCACTCAACGAACATACGCTTTTAACAACATGAGTGACGCACACAAAACCCTAATGACACAAATTAACGGCAAATGAACTAATAACAACTAAAAAGAGATGGCACGATGACAAACAAAATGGACCGACGCAAACATCGAAAGACATCCTCACTAACGATAACGAACCACAAACACGATGCACGACAGACAAAACAAGTTGTATAACAGCTTTCAAAGACAGCTGTGGAAAATATTTACTTATAACTATGAAACGTTGCTCTTCAAAATTAGGGACCTAAACATTATTTTGCCTAAAAATACAGATTTTCTATTGAACCCAATCTTGTCAAAGACGATATCGCGCAGTTTTTTGAAAGCTTTACAGGTTGGCAAGATTATGGGGGTCGAAGGCAACCCCTTCAAAATCAACTTGATCCAAAAAACTTATCTGCAAAATCGGGTACTGGGCTTTAACGTCCATTGTACATCGGCAAAGATATTAACTTGAATTTGGTCAGACTTATCAAGCAAGCAAAATGTACTCATTGGATGAAGGGAGGGAGGAGAAATGCAGATTTTCATGATCCAAGAATTGAAAAAAGAACTGAATAGCCAAACCACAACTCATTCAAGCTGTATCTTGATGTTATCAAAGTTAAAGCTTGTACTATTCTTTAAACTGATTCTTTCGCTCAGGCATTTACACAGTGTGGGTGGTTAAATTCTAACCCAGTGGCGTAGAAAGGATAGAACTATTAAGTGCGGGCACCATCTTTTTCAGGAACAAGAGACATTTTTCATTAAAGCAAAGGGCTTTTTTAATGTTGGAGGGCATGGTTCACTACCCTAACAACATTCAAGCAGAAACTGTGAGGAATGTAAATCGTCGAAATAAAGATTGTTATGGATGAACAGTCAAGAAATTGGTTAAGATTAGTCATTTGCTTAGAAAGAGGTTTAGAGTGACGAAAAATGACTATGTGACAGTTTTACGATATAGGATCAATAGAAGAGTTGGTGGGGAACCTGGTAAAGACTTGGGAATGCCAAGCATCTCATTTCAAAAATTTTTAGCAATGGACAACAATTGACCATTCTGACTACAATATTACTGTCAATGGAGAGACGAAAGTTCCAGGAAAAACAGCCTTTGAAATTGGCAACTACAATGCCCTTATTTTGGAATGTCCGGCTTACAAAAAATGTGAGTTTGATTGAAATCGTTTCTAGAAATATTAAATCTCCAAGATGTTTGGAAGTTTATTTTCTTGCAGATGGAGTCCACCAAAGACATTGCTATTCCCGCCTCCTACTTAGTCATTTATGACTGCTATTCATCAAAACGATGTTAAAGATAAAGCATTAAACTAAGGCGTAAATTTCTTAAAAGCTATGTATTAAATGATATACAACAACAAAAAGTTCGCTCATCTTTTGGCCGTAGGAGAAATGGGGGTTTGGAGGGCGGCACCCCCTCCTCCCCCATTCAAGGAAAATTTTTCTAATACCAGGCTCTATTCGGGGAGTTAAATTTTAATAAGGTAATAATATCAAGATCCATACTGAGCCTTCCCCCCCCCTTCCCCTAAACGCTCAACATCTGCTATGCACCTGTGTGATCTGTCTCCACCTTCTGCAGTTTGCATATAACGATGCACAAAAACTTTCAAAAAGAGTATTAAGGAAAAAGTAAAGCTGGTTAAAACAACATTTCTGATTCTCTGAACGCATTTACATGCTGTAAAAGGGTTACTTGAGATCTATCGCTGACAGATTTTCTTACAAAAAAATGCTGTGTTCAACCTCTCCCACTTATTGAAGCCCTCTACTAATTCAGCACCCTCCTTCCCACTCATTCAATACCCAAGTCAACTTTCTCTGGAAAATTTCTTTAAACTCAAACAAAAATGAAATTTTCTTTCATTAAAGTAAAGACACCATTATTTTTGCCAGAATTATAGATAAACCCTGGTCCTTAGAACGTGTTATTGAATTTACGTGTTAGAACGTGGTAAAACGTGTTATTGAATTTAACTAGAATGTTTCATATGTGCTTTAAATGGAAAAGTGACCCTTTGAAGTGAAAATTACAAAGTTTCATTAAAATAAGCCTTCAGCAAAGCGTTACCCCTAAAAGAAGTTCCTGGTTCGCCTCTGCTAAGAAGAAGTGAAACTGTCACTAGCAAAAGAATCTACCACAAAGAAGCAATAAAAATATCGGCCTGCCCAAAAAGTTTGAACTTAACTATTCACAATACCACAATACAATTGCAGGAATCTTACCTTTAAGAATGATGTTCTTCACTTCTAGATGGAGAATTAGATTTTGAAGAATCTCACAAACTTTTTCTGAATGCGTTTCCGAAAGGCTTTCCATGGGAGCTGCTGAAGGTTTTATCAAAACCTCCATATGTCCTTCTCACATGGCGCCATTGGGGTGAATTTGCTGGCGAGTTCCGGAGGAACAAAGGAAAATGAGAGACAGTTGAGATGTTTGGTGTGCTAAGGGTCACTGTAAATGAGAATTTGAAAATTCAGCACATTGAAGTTTTCTTTGACCCAGAGACGTTTATTCTGGTCATGGAGGGAAAAATCAGCCCCGATGAACTGAAGAATGGTTGTACAATTTTGGGAGATGTCACCAAAACTGCTGTCGAAAAGCTTAGTGCTTGAACTCTCAAGAACCTTTATACCACTAGCATGCTTCGTTGTAGAGTGCATTTTTGTGAACCGTGAACCCTAATAGGCAACTAACCTGCTACATGCTCGATAACTTGATATTGAATGACCAAGCGCTTTAGCACGTTAAGCATCTAAGAATAATAATACACAAATGTTTAAACAGGATAGCCTATCAGTATATTCAATACTATTGTTACTAGGGTCCTGCTGGCTTAAAAGTTACAGAGAAGTTATTTATGTAAAGTGAGAAAAGTTAGAATTAAAAATGCAAGCGAAACCTCGATATTTACAAAATTAAGATGTTGTTAAAATGGCTATCTAAAAAATTTCTAAAAAGAATGTGGGATTCAATTCTTTTTGCCCGTAGAGGCAGGCTGTTGAACTCTTGCAGCCAAGAAATAAAGTCCCTTTCGACCGAATTCTGTTTTCATTAGTGGCGAATTTGCTGATAGTTTTTCATTTCTTTTATACTTCCAATGTGTTTTTCTAGTGATGTAATCCTTGAATCATGTATCGTTATATCAGGTAAATTTTATAGTAAGCCAAAGAGGGTAGAATTGTTTCGTACGATGGGTTCTCAGTGATAACCACGTGAGTAAAGCGCGTGATATCGAATTCGATCTTCGTTTCGTGACATGGGTTGGACCCTTAGTAAAACCGCAAAATATTTACTTTCTTCGTCTGGACTATTGGAGTATTTTTACGAGAGCCTTTCCTAGTGGCTCTGCCAAGGGGATGCGGTGTAATGATCTTCTCTTGTGTGTCAAATTTGGTCCATGCAAACCCTTGAAAACCTCTATAGAATTCCTTGGTTTTAGGTTGCATGCTTAAAAGTAACATTATTTCTTTAGATACTACTTAAGTTTGTCAACAATGTATTCGGTGATTAAGTTCCAGTAATTCAAGGAAGTTTTGAATGATTGACAATCATGCACTGGTCTTAAAATTGCTTGCTTGCATAACTGACGTCCATATTACAAAACATAGCAATGATAATAATAATATAATAATTTTACTGTTAGTTTGACAATAGTGTGAACACTAATAAACACTAACATGCAGCAATTTAAGAGATTGCATTATGGAAGTCATTGACTGCAAGCGTTACAGGCGCATTAATTTTCGAAATACCAATCTTTTATAAGAACTTTGAGTTGAAAGAGAATTCCAAATCTTTGGACCCAAAAAGCTAATAGATTTTATACCATAACTTGTCGTTTTAACCTTTGGAACAGACAGACACAGAGTATCCATTTTTCGAAATTATAGCTATTGGGTTTTGGGAGAAAGTAGTCTTTCATAAAGGCTAGATTCAAGTTGTGTAAATTTCTAGTGCTAGCAGCCGAATGGAGTGAATATGATTTGTAGTAGATTTAGCCTTGACTAGAAGTTTAGAATACGATGAAGTGTAGTCTGGGAGGGCTAATCGTAGGGCCATGTACGAAGAGTGCTGTTATCGTATGATGCTGTGGTCGATTTACCATCAGTCGCAGCGCCAGCTTCAGCAAAATGAGCCTTCTGTAGTTAGGGTCAGCAAAGTTGCAAAGTCAATGTAGAGCCTTCTGTAGTTAGGGTCTGAGATTGTTGTATACAGCGTACACTCGTAACAAATTTCTGAAAATTTTTCAGCACCCCCTCTACCAACTGCCCCTCCTTCAAATTTGCGCTGGATTCGCCCCTGTCCATAGCACCCCCTAGGGCCACCAATATTTTGTTTTACATTATGATAAATGATAGTCACTTAAAAGCGACGAGAAGGCCAAGATTCAAGACTCATTCACCTTTTACCGCTCTGGGTTTTGGGAAATTAAAAAATTCTGTGAACGTATAGTGGAGCTTTAATTTTAAGAGGGCAGGTGACTTGGAGTTTGCCGTGCATTTTCCTGTTGCAAATGCTGAAAGTTTCGGCTTATTTTTCCAAAGCTTGTTCGCGTACACAGTTTTATCTTAGATGTCTATAAACACGGTGTTTATTTGTTATTTTAGAAATTCTAACTAAAACCTGAATGAAGTTAATGATGAAAGCGATGGCGACGATGAATTTAGGGACAACGTGGACGAATAGTGGAACCATGACCATTGACAGCAACCAAACAGAACTTGAGTAATCGAGTATAGTACGTTCAAAATCTCATTAAATTTTCCTATCCACTGAAATTCATGTATGATTGCGTTTGTCGATAGTTGAAGTAGCGTAGCGTCAAGCTGTTCTTTTCTCCCTTTTGAAATTTGAAGTCACTGGTTCGCATTACTCAAATTGTTTGGCCCACGATTGTTTGCGGTTTGGCACGATTAACGTCTATATAACATGATTTGTTGTTTGCTCCATGGCCTCCGGGGAAGGGCTCCCCCTTTTTTTGCAAAACATTAGAGCTTTTTAAAAACATTTTGTTATGGGTGTTACATTTTCCCTTGGCTCCCACTTTCCAACCTGTGTCGGAGCCCACGTGCTGCCTCCCAAAATTCTTTGTACATGAAAAGACTTATCATAAAAGATCGCTGATCACATGCCACATCTGTCAACTATTGTCAATTAAAAAAATACTAGAGTCCAGACCGCTCTGCTTAATTTAAACTCCAAACAATACACAGAGGCAGTCAGATTGCCATAATGACGAGAGAGCAAGGTTGTGTCCTTGCTCACCTCTTTGCATTGGTGTGTATTCTTGCACATAACCCTGTGCAAGGCGCTCAGTCAGCTTCATGTAGTAAAACTTCAAACAGTCTCTACAATTTCTCAAGCAAAACGTTGCCAGAGTTTGGCTCCAAAGATGTCTCCTTCGATACCTACAAGGGTAGCGTTGTTATTGCTGTAAACGTTGCTTCTTTTTGAGGCTTGACGAAGACCACATACTCACAGCTGAATGCACTTATGCTGAAGTATGGCCCTAAAGCAAGAGAATCCTGCAGGTTACAGGTTCTCGGCTTCCCTTGCGCTCAGTTCGACAACCAAGAGCCGGGAAATGACGACGAAATTATGAACACTTTGAAATATGTGAGACCCGGAAATGGCTTTGTTCCCGAGTTTACCTTGTTCTCAAAACTCGAAGTAAATGGTGCATCAACAGACCCGCTGTACTCTTGGATGAAGGTGAGTTAACTCCGAAGGCTTCTCACGATTCAAATCCACCTGCCATTTATTAGGCAATTAAACGACAAACATTGAATTTAGCAGGTGTTTAAGGATTCTATGCCAAATAAATGCATCATCTACAAGTACCAATTACTAAATGAGTAAATAAATGTAAAATTGGAAGAATTTCGAAATTTGATTTATGACCAGAAATTCGTATATTTGCTAGCATGATGGCTGCTTGCTAATATTTTTATGTTAAAAACATCAAAGCAATTTTTCTCACCTTAAGTATCTTTTTCTCTGCTTGGATTTATACTTTGGTATGATATCTTGAAGTTATTAATGAAAAATTGCAAATAAAGTAGAGTCACGTCGCCCCTTATGGAACGATTCGATTTTTTCATGAATTCTGACTGTGCAGTGATAAAAATAAATATGAAGGAGTTTAGGTTTGTTTATCTTCAAAAAACGCGCGAAAGTATTTTGCTGACGACATTACTTGAATTTTTTGCTAATTATCGTTGTTTCATTTTGTTCTTAAAAGCTAGGAGAATATTTTAAAAGTAAGCGGAATGTAAACGAAAAAGCTGTCATGAGACCTTCGACCCTTTTTTTTCCTGCACCTCAACTTTCTTGGTCATTCCTTCGGTCGGTTTTTTAGCTAAAACAAAACCAACCCCCACAACGTGTTTCTTCATCTCCCAAAAACGAATATTCGTTGCAACCCAAACAATAGCTTGCACAAATTTCATTCACCGGGATTTTTTATCAGGAGCACTTTCATTGGCCTAGGGGCTTCTTCGATGGAACGGTGGGCTCCCTGTTGTGATTCTCAACAATTCAAAGGCTGAACATGCGACACGTGATAGGATTAACAGTATCAATATTTTCATGGCCTTTGGCTGTCTCTTTGTCAGTGTCGCTTTTGTTTCAGTTTTTCATTTGCTGCTTAATGTGATCAATCATGGATTAAGATGTTGTATCACTCTGTTAATGCGTTGGGGCTTATTAAAACATTTTACTTCATGGAACATGGCCTTTTCAAATGGGATGTTAATGAGGGGGAGGAGGAGGAGCAATTTAAGGGTTTATAGTAAGGAAACTTATGTGTAAATATTTCATAAGCACATAAGTTCGCCAAATGCAAAGAAAATTGTCTTTACAATCATGCAATTTTCAGGAAAAAAGCCCTAAGAGGCTGCATCATTTGCACATGCCAGCCCGTTTCCACTCAAGCATAAAAGAGAAGTTATACCTACAATATTTGCACTGCTTTTCTCTAATGAGTATCTAGTTTAAATTTTAATGAGCCTGAAAAAATTCCAATTGCTGTTGCTTGTCATCCATGTTGGGAGGGAGCCATGTTTGTTTTAAAAACACCACACATTGCTTACAAATCCATGAAGAATAAAAATAGAAAAATTTAAAAAATTTTAAATCTTTCCATTCATTCAAATCTCAATTCTCACTGGTGTCACAGATGTTTTTTGCCATTCACCTGCACTCCTTGTTTTAACTTTTTAATTCTTTTCCTATCACCAGACAACATGTCCTAGGCCAGATTCATTAATAGCCACCACCAGCAGTGTCAGTTGGAGTCCAATTCAAGTTGGAGATGTGAGATGGAATTTTGAGAAGTTTCTTTTTGACCACACTGGTAAGCCATACAAAAGATATAATGAAGCATATGTACCATTTTTGATGGAGAACGACATCAAAACCTTAATTGGTAATTGCATAAAGGCTGGAAAGCAGAGTAGAGAGTATGATTATTTTTATTATTAAATTTTCCTGGAATATGTAGTTATGGATTTAGGTGAGCAGTATTCTGGTGTTGTTAATATCTTTCTAATGCAATACTAATATTTTATTTAATTACAGTGAAGACATAGATATAGGAAGCATTTTAAAAATGGGATGAGGTACATGTAAACAGAAAAGGGACTGAGCTGTGAATATGCACTCATCCACAATTTCTAAAAATGGGGGCACATGCCCCCTTTGCAAATTGTTCCTATGTTTATGAATGAAGGCCTCTTGGCCAAAATAAATCTCAATGCTTTAACAGGATAGTCATGAAATATTATCTATAAACACAACATAACCATTCAACCTATTTGTGATACTCTATGTTAAAATCTATGGTGAAGCTTGTCTCTTTGTATTTTCTCATTAGCAGGGGTTTGACTTTATGATGTTTCCACTCTTTTTTGCTTGTCACAAATTTAGTTCTTGAAAGTTTCTTATCTTATAAGAATTTGAAAATGTACAGGGCTAGCACCTTCATATTTCAAATAATGGTCACAAAACAACTAGAATGTTTGCCACCACTTGGTTCCAGGGCACACTAAGAGTTTATTGGTGAAATTCCCAGCTCATTCCTACAACAGAAGAAACATTCCCTGACAAATTAAGTTATTTTAGGGGAGCTGTAGCCCCCTTCCTCTCTAGACTTGAGCTACCCTTCCCCCTCTCTCTCTCACTGCCCTCATTTGTTGTTTTTATTGCCTCAACATTCTTTCTTTCATTATCTGTAATAGCATGCACATTATTCAGTTCAAGTAGCCAAATAGCCTTGTCTTATAGAGACTTGTATAATGATCAGTGTGAAAATATTGCAAAAATTAGTTGACCTTAATTTATGCTATTCTAATTGGTATTTTCATTTTGCGTTATTACTGAATATAGTTATGAAGGGTAGTCTTCAACAGCATTGCTGTATGTCTTACCCTGATAAATTTATTGGTGACATATTTTTGTGCATTCAAATAGTCACCTATAGATTTCTATATTCACCAAGCATTATGCATATAATTAGCTTGTCTTTTTATCTTAAGTATGCAAATACTGATGAAAAGTACTTGTATGAATTGTAACACAAAATATGTGCCTTTTTCTCTTTCGTGTTTTCTTTTTTGATGAGGAAGTGACTGCCATGAAAAGATAAAAAAATTGGTGCTTGATTGATAAGGCCTTCATTTCACTTGATTAGGCTACCATCAATGATTTTTGTTTTGGAAAGGAAGGAAAGCAAAAGTTTTGGCATGATTTTCAAAACATGCACTAATTGAACCTAATGGGGCAAATGAGAACCTTACTCATACTGTCAGTTACAAAGTTACATTTCTTGTTAATTGCTTTTGTCATTTATTATTCATAAAAGCTAATAAAATTCTAGATATGACAAAACTCTTCTAATATATTGCTATTTTCTGGGCGGCGCAAGAGGGGGGCTCGAGGGCTTCAAAAAAATGACGATTGAATGAAATTTATCAGAGTTAATTTCACGAGGGGCTTTTGAGCGTTAACTAAATCGCTTGAGGCAATGCGGGGAGCTTTTCGGCCTCCTGAGAAGTTGGTTTGTTAAACTAGGGTTAGATGGGTTTTTCCGTGGCGTTTTTATTCCCTTAGTTAATCTAGCAGTATTTAAGGTTTTGGCATAGCGTGGGTCTCATCTTGCTTGGTGAAGCCATAATACAACTAGGCTGTTTTATTGTATTTTCCTAGCCCTCCCTCCCTCATTTGGTTTCTTTATGCAAAATGCCTTTGCGTGTTGAGTTTCTTTTATGGCTTCGTTGAAACCTCTCATACCTTTAGGCACCTTTTATGTTTTTTTAGCGTTTTCTGATGCTATTAGGTAAGACTGGTGCATCGGCTATTAGTGGGGAAAAGAGGCTTTTCCTGTCCATTCCCTCCCAATTATCAATCATATTTGGGGGTTATTGTGTAACTTCCCTTAGTAACCCTTTTATGGTAGGTTGAGCCAGGGGCGGATCCAGAGGTAAATCTGACTGACTTACAAAGAAGAAAAAAAGCATTAACGGGCGGGGTCAAAGGGTGTGGTCACAAAAAGGTCTTTTTGTAAAATGCATATCAAAATGGCATAAGTATATAAGAATGTTTGAATCAAAGATTTAACCGTCTCGTAAAGCAAAACCTTAATCTTGAATTTGTAGGTACTTGGTATACAAATTAAGTCTTACAGATAAAAGAACACACTTTGCAAGGAAGGAATCCTTTGACCTTGGCATGTATATCTTTTTTCAATGGCATAATTAAACCTGCTTATTGCTAAACCTGTGTAAGTGTTGTTTCATTCATGAATCTTTGATCCATTTTGGTATTAATCAATTCCAATACTTGCAAAAGACTTTCTTCAAAAGACTTTCAAAATGCATTCTGACCAGTTTTCTTCTAAACAGAGCACAAAGTAGACAAACAGTGTCATCTAGTTGCTCTAAGTGTGCAATTAAATTGTTGTTCCCTTTGAACAGCAGTATTCAAATTTATGCAAAAGCATATCTAGTTTCTTTTCCACTTAATACACGTGGTGATTTATGCACTTTGTGTATGATTATGGGAAAGCTAAATATATGTTAAAAGTCTTATTCAGCATCAATTTTTGGCTCATTGCACAAAAAATAATAAATGAGCCAAGAGTATACAAATTTCCTTACTTTTTCAATGATTTTTTTATGATAAAGTTTTGTATCTGGCTTCCAGATATTTTGCATGATTTCATAATTCTGCATATCTGTCATGCCGGTAGCTTTTAGCTAAAAGTTCCAATGTTTGTCAAATTGACCATAAGAACTGGAAGATTTGGATTTGATAAAGCATTTGGCTAATCAGATTTGTTTTCTCCACTGATTCTAAAGTCATTTTAATGGAAACATTTTTAATAGAGGAAATCTTGGCTTGCTTTTCTGGTTGCTTCCTTTTTTCATTTTGGTTCTTTCTTGAAAACATGTTAAAGGTTGTTGCAAACAACTTTTTTGCCAGGAAGAGGAACAATATGGTTTGCATTGAATGATGGGTTAAGGTCACAACCACCTGCCTTAGACTATAGGTTCAATATTTTGATTGCTTTGCTTAGATTAATTTTTGCACTGCTTAGATTTATAACATGCCTTTTTGAACCCCAGTTTCTGAATAAAAGCAAACTACGAACATTTAATAACTCTATGATACACATAGATTGGGATCCTCTTCCTAACCTGACAATTTTTGATTAACCATGTTCAACACAACCAATGCACCATTTTTGAAAGAACCTGTAAGTATATCACTAGCTTCATTAGAAACTGAATGAGAAAAGAAAGTTTCCAACAGAGCAAAAGATCTCTCATAAGCAAGGCAAGAAATGCTGCAAGAAAGATGGGAGTGGAAGGCATAAAACTCAGAGTGAAGATAAAATTCAGCAGATATTAATGCTCTCAGTAGATGACACATCTTTTCTAATGACAGAGAATCATTGTACAGGCAGTTTTCATTTTCCCTGAACCTAACCAACAATATATATTTTACATTCTACATAGGCATGCTGAAGCCTGGGGCTGCTGTAGCCCCTTATATCATGACGTATCTTATTTAAGTTGTGGCACTAAAGATATCAGTTGCAGACTTTCATAAGTGTTTGCTATCTTGTCTAGAGTAAAGTTATGACTACACAGTTTTCTGGCAGGAATAGCTTTTGAGATGATGAGTAAATGTAGACTTATGCATATAGAGTTGAGGATTGCAGTTTATTGATTAAATATTTCCCGTCAATTGAATAAATCTTTAATGTTGTTTGAGCCTTGATAAAGAAAAGGATAGGAACCTAAAAATATTTTGACCATTCAGATATTTCTACAAAGTTAAAAATAACAAAATGGCTTTTGAGGTATAGCTCAAAACCTTTAAACGAGCTTTTCTACAAAATATTTTGTTCTTGATTCATTTTTAAACCTTACCCAAACACCTTCCAACTTGTGTCAAAAAGCACCCCCCCCCAAAGGAATTAACTTGATAGAGAAATCTCAAGCTTAGGATAGTGTTTTAAGCAGTCAGTTAGGCAGCAAACCTAGCAAGAAATTTATATTGATAAAGGTTTTAAGATCTTTTCCCAATTTTTCCGATCAATTCAGTAATACGTGTTTGGAAATGGAATTTACAGTAATCGTTCCTTTTGTTGTTGCTGCTGTCCACACTTAAATTTCCCGCCACAAGCATTCCGATGGCAAATAAAATTCTACCTATCTCTCTAAATGTTACCAGCATTACTTGATAAATATCGCTACTTTGAAAGTAAGACCGTACCTTCCGGCAAAATTAATTTTTCTCCTGCTAGATCCAGCCATTTTCAGGGGATTAAATGTTGAATTGCTTGTCCTTTTTATTTAGGCCAACAACAGTAAAAACAAGAATCGATCTTTGCCTTTCAGTGGCCTTGATATTTTTTTTAGGATATTTTTATAATTCGAGCCAATAAGTGACTTGATTGACTTCAAAATATCCATACTGCATCCGGAACCTGGTTTATCAGACCCTCTACTCGATATCCTTTTGCCAGGCATTTGTTTACCTGAGACTCTGAGACTGAGAGGTAAAATTGCTGTGCAGGAGGGTATTGTCTTAGCTGCAATCTTAGTGGTAAGTCAGTGGAAGTCAGTCTTAAAATCCATACATCGCCTGGACCCCAAAATATTTCTCATACTGACCCCTGTAAAAATTATTTGCCTTATTGATCATACATCGCCTCTACTGACTTACGAGAACAATAGCGTTTTAGCATGGTGCAGAAAAGCTTTGTTAAAAGATGACCGCGCAGATTCCTAATTTATTCGACTGACTTACCAATGATATTGCGAGTTTTAACCCTAACATCTTTGTTCTAATGATTTATGCATTGAGCTGTGAATTTCTATGGGAGAATTTATTGATAGATCATTTCGTCGAACAGTTTTATAGAAAATTTTCGAACCTACAGTTGACAGATCTGATGATTTTGAACAGGCGCTATAGAGAATATGACAAATTAAAGAAAATCTTTGTGCTGTTGTGGGACTTGAGAAAAATGTGTTTGAGAGCTAATTTTTTTCATTTCGTTTCTACAGATTGAAAATTGTTGACTGACTTCCGTGAGTCGGGTAAGTCAGTCTGGATCCGCCCCTGGGTTGAGCGATTTGCGCCGATTCACCAACGGCCCAACTCGCTCTCGATGATGTGGGAACGTAGCCTCAAGACTGACCTTCTGATGTGTATGGCAGTTTTTTTGGGGGAACTTTATGCCCTTTATATTGCATTGGTATTTCATTCCCGAGTAAGTAAATTAAATAAAAGAAAAAAGATGGAAGAAAAGAAAAGTGCAATAAACCCTTTTATTGCTTTAATTTCTCAAAGAAAAGGCGAGGTCTATAGTGCCTCATAAAGTAATGGATTCCATTTTAAGACTGGAATTAATCAATCGTAATAAAAGCATGCCTTAAAACTGGTAAAATGTTTTAAACGGTGCAAAAATGACTAAGAGACATGCTCTGAAATGTATTTTAAGCTAATCTAAAGGGTGTGGTTGCAAAGAATTTTCTGCTTGCAGGGAAGACTTTTCTTTCAGATGTACCTCCGACAACCTCTCGTCAGCCCTCTCAATGTACCAAACGAATTTCCCATAAAATCATAGGCATGAATTATCGTGAAGCATTTTAGTGCGATTCTCAAAAGTTGTTTTTTAGTCTAATAATGCTGCAATTCGAGCCCGCCCCCACTCTGAATTTCTTGGCGTCGCCCCTGTATTTTAAGGAAAATTTGATAGATTTCTCCTTCACTTTTTTCTAATGAAAGAGAGACATTCAAATCTATGCTTTTTTAATTAGCATATCTTTGCTGCCCTTTCTTAAATTCTGATGCATTTTGCAAAAAACCTAAGAGGAAAGTTGAGTGGAATATTTTGCTATTTTTCATAAAATAATCTTATGATATTGGAAAAGAAAATGTTGCAGTCATCTTGGTAAATAAAATAAAAAAGATAGATCTTGGTAAATGAATTACATTATTAAGGTGTAAAACTCTGACACAGAATAAACAAGAAGAAGTAGAAAATAAACAAAAAGCTTAATAAAATCAGCTATGTTTTACATTCAGTATAACAATTAAGCAACAAGGCTGTAAAATACATAAAAACCGTCTTTACAAGAGGACTTTGAACAATATTGATCTTAGAAAAAGAAATAAATGTAGAAACTGATATAATTACAAGCATGGGATATATAAATAATCTATTCTAAAGAAATGGTTAAAACAAATAAGTAAAGGAAATTAAAAAAATATGCAGAGTTTAAAAAGGCATAAAACAGAAACATAATTAGTCACCATTGTAAAACTAAATGTTTGCTTCATTATCAAATGACACCATGATCCACAGATCCATTGGTTTATAAGGCAATTCAATTTGAACCAGCGCTGATGATAGATTTCTCAGAATCTTCACAGATCTTCTGACATCCATGGACTTTGTTCTTGGTTAGGGCATCTGTTTAGAACGTATTTGAAGACTTTGAAGCCACTGAGCCCTGTTGTCTGCCAGTATCTTTCCACAAAGTACAAGCCTAAAGAAGGCAACGGAGATTAAACAATCAAGAGTGTCAGAGACAAAGCGTTAGGGTTGTCACTGCAATGATACAATAATTGTAGAGCTTGTTTCGTGTTCCGTGGTCATAAAAAATACACGCAAGTATGTGAAAGTTCATCAATCGTTTGTCTTAAATAGCCCATCGACAAAGGGTGTAAAGATTTCTGCATAAATAGCGATGAAAATACTTGCAAGATTAGCAAATCCACGACTGCCTTATTTTTAGTATTGGACTGTCCATTTTACATTAATTGTTAACCATTGGTTTTGTCCTGAACTATTACCATACCATCTCCGTGGGATCTGACACCACTTGGAAAGTGGGAGGTCAAGGAAAAATTTACATTTTTTTTTATAAGAACCAGTCAATTTAAGTTCAGTTCTTAATTTTTTCGAAAATCTGAGGCTGGATTGTTCTTGATTTGTTCTTAATCTAATAGGGTGTAAGCAGTGCGAGTGCTAGCTTTTTCGCTCTAGGGTGGTGTACAAACCTCATTTGCAAACAAAGCGAGCGAGGCAGCCTTTAATTTGCTGACAAATTTGAATATTCAACGAAAAAGAACCCACATATGGCTAAAAATCCTCGATTTTGAGAAAAAGCGTTGTTCAAAATTACATTTTGCAGAAGTTCAGCCTCAGCTTGTTCTTAATTTGTTCCCAACTTTTGACCAATTTTGAGGCGCGTGTTCTTATAAAAAAGGAGTGTAGTACCCACAAAAAAAGATTTTGGAAGAAGCTCTATTGTTCTACAAAAAATAGGAGGGGGAATGGCCAGAGGCCCTGATTTCAACTGTAGATGCAATTTTAGTGTTTTAGCTCTAATAAACTTTAGATAACTCGTAGACCCCTGTGGCAAAGTTTTGGCGGGAATACGTCATTTCATTTTGCATACCTCATCAAATTCTGTTTCAGAACAAGAAGTTACCGTTATGTGGTGAGGGAGACTATCTATGAGTTTTAGAAGAAGCTCCATATCTGGAAAAAATGTAACAAAGAAAAAAACTTATTGCTTTACCATAATTCACCGTACATGGAAGACTCATATCGACAAAATGCGATAAAAAGCCGCGTTAAACACTTGACACATAAGCCTTGCAATTGGTGGTGGGTGAATTTTATGCTTTCATTTTAATTAAAAGATAATTTCAAACAACTCTTTTTCTGCAAACAATTCTGCAAAATATTTTACTACTAAGAGTGGGGGCTAAGGGGTAAAACAACTCCGACATAATGTTATTGAAGTAGGCCTAATTTTCTAATGACAGTACAACTTTAATGCTGACCCCATATGGATTTCTGTGCTTTTTTGGCAGAAAACCTACAAAATTTGGTCAACATGGGAGGTCAGCAGCTTCTTTCCCTTATCCATTGACTAAATAAGAATGATTGATTTTAATGTCAAATTATCCCGTCCTAACTTAACTGCGCAGGGAGGAAGAGCATTTAGGAATGCCAACCCAAAAAATCCAAAAACACCTTAATTAAAATTATTCATTGAATAGGGCAAACTATCCTACCCTTTTTTAACCTGCTTAACTTAATGTCTTGTATCTTACCGCTTTTGTAACTTTTGTTGTAGTTGCTGAATAGCTTCTCTCCTTATAATTTGAAATCAAAATGAAACACAGCCATTGATATCAGGTATGCATTCTGAAATTTTTCAACACCACAGATTCTCACCAAAACTCAACAGAATACAGTTGGGAAGGTTTTACCCATTCCAATTTTTCGAAATTAAAAGAGAGTTGTCTGCTTGGAATTAAAAGTGCTCACTCTACAGTACAATCTCTATTAATATATGTATCCCTCCAATACATTCCTGGCTTCAACAGATGTGGCATAAAATCAAGTGCAACAGAAAGGCACAAATCCTAATAGCTTGTTAAGGATAACTTTTCTATAATATCAAAGGATATATCTAAAAAGAGAATTGTTTGTAATTGATTTTAAAAAGTTAGGGTATATAAACTAAAACATATTTTGAAAACCCACCATCATATCTGTAGCCTTGCTCTGGTGCAAATGGACTGTTTAGTTTGTATCCTCTTATAACTCTGACAGGTCTTCGATTCTCAACATTTCTAACCAATGCCAAGTTACCTAGAGTAGCAGGAAAATGGCAGTTGAAGATATATTTCTCAAAGCACTTTTTCAGACAAAGCTTGAATGTGTTCTAATAAAATCTCTTCAAAATTGTATTGAGCAACATATTATCTTGTTAGCATCAGACACACTGGAGGGGGTCACACTGGAGGGGATCACACTGGAGGGGGTCACACTGGGGGTGGTATTACTGGGGGTGGTATTACTGGGGGGTGGTATTGCTGGGGGTGGTATTACTGGGGGGACAGTTGCCCTTGAGTCGATGCAACCAGGTAGCCTCTATTAGTTTTAAAAGAATTGCTCTACAACATTTTAAACAAAGCTCAACATTTCTTCATGCCAACTTCCGGATTTAGTCCCTTTTCAAGCCAAAAATGATACTGTAAAGGCTTCTTCTTGCATTTGAAAGATCTTTGCAAATTTATGTGATCTTTGCAAATTTGAGGGATCAGTTTTAGGCTTGCTTCCCTGTCTTGTATTTGGATTGATCATTGATCAATAAGCAAGTATTGCTGCTAACCTTTTGTTAAAGTTTGATCTTTGGATTGTGGCGCTGTTCGTAGATTCTGTAAGAAACACATCAAGTAAGTTTTGTAAGAAAATGTTGAAGTTCTGCAAAATCTTTATGAGCCTTACTTACATCAATTGAATATGTCATGCTAAAATAAAACATTTGGGAAGGAAAGAAACATCTATAAAAAGACAGAAAACATTTATCACCAGCTTGTTTAAAGTTCAAATATGTTTAATTCTAGATGAAGGCTCATACACCTATTTGTGACATCATGTGGCCACAGGGGAAAAAGGTATTTTTTTGCTCAGTATTTTTCTAACATTTGAACTTTGCCAAGGAAATATGTCCATGGAAAATAAATAATATAATTTATGTTCAGCAGTAAAATTACACTTTACTTGAGGCTCTACTATGGTTTAATTATGATTTGGGAAAATGTGAAATATGTCTAGAAATACATGAAAAAATCTACTCACAAACACATTAAACAGTTGTTTAGAACAAACTGAATATCTTAATCTATTTTAATCCGACAAAAAAGAAAAAATTGAAGACAATACCTTTGGATTGGCTTTTGTCCCCTTTAGATCTCTTCCACCTTAAAACAAAATATGAACTTTTAGGGCTTCACTCTATTGCTAAAAATCAATTAAACTTAACTAGAAAAATAAAAAATACAGGTAGTTATACATTCAATTGATTCTGCACACCAAAATAAAATCAGTTTTGTTGTATTTTAGAGAGAGTGATTTTATTGACAATGCATGTATTTATGATGCAAAAGGCTGGGCTTAATAGTAAAAAACGACTGAAACCGCAAATTGTCATTATAAATACCAATCACCTTCGCCAGTATATGTAAAACTGTCTCCTAAATCAATATCATCTTCATATCCACCAGAGAGTGCAAGTGAATAGCAACCTTCTGCTTCACTGCCGTGAATACCAGCTACAGTTGGCCTATAATCCAATATTATGATTATCACAATGAACACTAACATAGCAGCTCTCTCTTTTATTATTATTGATGTAATTTTTCCTGCTACAAAGTTTTAAAACATGGCCCATGCTATATCAGGGCTAATTCTTACTTGTTGACATCACTATCAAGATTAGAGATATTTGGAACTTTGAAGCTATTGGGACTTCTGCAACCTAATAATCTCCTGTCAATCCATTAATTGTTTAAAGTTTAAACTGTTAATTGACTATCTTGAGCCATAAATATATTGAAAGCCTTTAGCCTTCCTTATCTGCATCATGCATTGCAGTCCCATAGCCCGAATGATTCATCATCTAACACTCTTCAACTTTAACTTTAAGAATATATGAGATTCCATTAGTCATATATTTAAAAAAAACATTTTAGGACTTTTGGCTAGTTTTTTGAGACCTTACTGTTTTGGTAATAACTGACAGTTTAACCTAGGTATATCAAGAGAGGTAAATGAATTTTGTGCCAATACTATGCAAATTGTTTTTTTTATGTGGCAAATGGCAAGGTGCTCTGGAAATTTTTTTAAAATAAATCACAGCATAATTATCACAGGAGCTCCAAAATGTAGCAAAGAGATCAAGATATATTTACATACATTTGAAAAGGAGGGATTTGGTAACATATTATGCAAAGATGTTCTTTTACTATTTTATCCTTTCTTGTGAAATAACACAAACTTCATTAACTAAAATGGCAAAATTTATCAAAATTTATAACCTGTGAATTCCATCATGACTACATTCAACTCTGGTCTCCCAAGTTGTTCCAACCAGAACACCTATCAATGTGACGGAATGTTGATAACACTTATTTTATGATCCTTCAAGGTTGAAATTTAAACAAATACAAAAACATTAAACATTTCTACATTCATGCTTTATTGATAAAAATAGAAACATATTGCATATAGATTCTAGAAACAATTGTCTTTTTAACAAATAATGTAGGTGCTCTTCTTCAACATTAATCAATAGTGAGTTCAAAAAGACAATGCAACAGTATAATGGTATTTGGTTCAATTTCCTTTTGTATATGCAGCAATCAAAACCAGAAATGATAATTATTTTTCATCTTCAACTTTTTCATACCTTTCATGGAATAAAGAACATGATTTGATTGCATATCAATTCAAGAAGAGTTTGCTAAAAGCCTAATCCATGATAGACAATTTATACAAGTTAGAATAAAAAAAAAATTAAATGCTACCTTCTATACTGCCAAAAACATTGTCTCTTTTAACAGCAGGTGTGTATTTCCTATACAATTTGTTCTCATAATTTTCCAAACTATCTGGTAAGTAGACATCCTCAGCTATCTGAATGTAATTGAATAAAACATTAGCTTATCCCAGAACTCTGAATGAAAAAAAGCACATGGCTAGGGGGGAGGGGTAAGTTTGGCTAGTGTCCAAACCACTTAATTGGTAATTCCAAAAACAAAAAGAATTGTATGTACACTTACAAACCTTGCAAAAGGTATGAACAAGTTTTGTTGGAAATTTCAACTTCTTGTCATCTTTAAAAAGTGCTGCCACACATCCCAAATGATATGAGAAAAATAGAAGTTCAAATTAAATACAATAATGACAATATCATTGAATTTGTAAACTTGCCTGTCCTTTTAGTCTCAAGGATCTTCTTGGGAAAAGATAGATATCCTGAATTTGAATTTCACTGCCAACTCTTTCCTTTTCACTTCTAAACTTGTTTTCGTTGTCATCTCGTTTTCTTTTCTTAGTCTTTTTTATTCCAATGGTGGGTTTCTTTGGATAGATCCTATACTGTTTGAGAAATCAAAACTTTGAGCAAATAACATGTAAATCTGATAACTGCATAGTTTGAGGTTATGAGTAAAATTTCATAGTTTGAGATTGGCTGTGCTGAACAAATCTAAATAAAGGTAAGAATATTTCGAAAATATTACCTTGAAAGTCAAGAACAATTTTTTTTGGCTAAACCGAAAAGGTGCAACTCACTTTTAAAAGAAAATTTTTTGGGTAATTAAGCGTAGGAGAATTATGAAATGAAAATATATTTCTCTCGCCGTATCATGTTTTTCTGTGGATAGAATTCTGTTTGACCAACCAAGGGCTCTCTGAAGTAATTAGGAAAGTGATAGAGAGGGGGTCAAAGGTTCTCCAAAACAAGTTTAAATGTGAGGGGACTCCAAAAAAGCACAAGTGAAAGATTCATAACAAAGATTATGCAAAAAAATAGTTTTGTTTTGCAAAAAGTGGGGTGGCCTCTCGTCGGCAAAGGGCTTGCTAGCAAACAATAGGTGATATATTGCAAAATAATTCTAGCATTTCTACCTGCTTTAGGAGGCCAAGACTTTCCAAAACCTTTTTGTTTTCCTCAATCTTTAATTGCCTTTGCTTTTCGTATTCATTTAAGCCGTTCATATTTGAAATTTATGTCGTCTTTAGTTCCAATCACTCACAGAGCTCAGATTGGATTGTCGTGTGTAGTGCACGTGGAGTACTCTTGGAGCCTCTAATGCAAGCGCCAAGAAAGATTGCAAACGAGGATCACCGTTGGTTACTTAGCTACGGCTAAAAGACGCTTGAGGTGGAAAGTCAAAGGCCACAACTACAGTTTCAACTATCTGTAGCATAGGCCTATAAAGTTCAAAATTCTTTACGAGTTTTTTCGTTTTGAAATAGACAGTGAAAAAGGAATGGAGTTTGCGCAACCCAGTTGGTCATTCCTTTCTTCTGAAGTGTTGAGCCATTTGTTCTCATATTTACATGTATCAGATGTTTTAACGATTGCCAAGGTCTGTAAAAACTGGAAATCCAGCGCTATTAGGGTTTTGCTGAAAGTGAAGATAGATGGAAGCACCCCTTTCGGTGGATGCTGGCTTAACCGAAACAATGTAACCCAAACATCAAGAGAAAACTTCACCGACATAGTGAAAAAAGCGCTGTCTCTATTCATAAACAATCTATGTGACATTACAGATGGTATAGAGCATTTAGTTTTAGATACAAATATGATCGACAGAGAATCGATTGAGAAACTCCTCCTGCATCAGCATGGATTGAAATCCCTTGTTGTGAGATACGAGATATCCAGGGGTGGAGGTTATGAGTTTTCTTCAAGTGCTGTTGGTGCAGCAGTTTTAAAAGGAATCATCAAACACGAGCCTACGCTTGAGAAGTTAAACGTTGGTATAGAAGACTACTTCATCTCTTTTGCAAAACTAGCGAAGTCGATGGCAACTAAGGACACTGTCTTCCCAAACTTAAAGTCCTTGGAATTTCTCTCAACCACTGCTGGTAGTTTTGGATATCTTGAATATGATTTTCAGCAATCGCTTTTTGACGGAACAGAGATGAGATACGCTGATGCTTTCCTGGAAAAGGTGCTGAAAAATTCAAAACTTGAGGAACTAAACTTTGAGCCCGTGCTAGAATTGAGGCTATCGGAATATGAATTGGAAGTTTTTTGGCATCCAGAATTCAGTAAGATGCTTCTTGAATATTTCGGCAAGGGCTCGTTTTCAAAGCTGAAGAAGATCAATGTCGATAGCTTGAACACCGAGGGACCTGAAGAGCTTGAATGGGAATTTCCTGAAAGTGAAGCCAAGTTAATAATTGAAAATTGTCCACATATAACACATATTGACTCTGATGTTTCATACGATAAAATTATCAATGACAGATTCCCACCAGGTAATGACAAACCAATGATTCAAATGCTAAAGAAATATGGAACTCAACTTGTATTTCTGAACTCTCCTCTTATGACAACCAATATTGGTAAATGTATAATTGAGAACAGCTCAAACATCGAGACCCTCACGATATTAGACAGTTCAGCTACTGGTATGACAGATGAGGTTTTTCTTTCATTGGGCAATTTGGAAAAACTGAAGAGAGTAAAATTAATTTTAGATAATGATGCCAGAAAGCCTGAAACTGTATTTATGTTCTTGGAAAATCTGTTGGATAGGTTGGAAGAGTTTTACATTGGCTACAGATCATGTGGTGGAGTGCCAACTGCTGACATATTTGATGCAATCAAAAGGCATGGGACAGGCCTGAAAAAATTGTGTTTGCTGTTCCATTTTCTATATTCAGAAGATGGATACACAGCAGCACTAAAAGGCCTATTAGGAATAATTGAGTGTTGCCAAAATCTCAGTTCTCTCATCATACATACCCGGCAAAAGGAAACCTTTTTTACTGATTCGTTTAAAACAGTGAGTCCAGAATTGAGAGATTCTTTTTCAAAACTTCTCAGTGAGATGTTGGTCTCTAAACAGAAGAAATTGAAATCTCTCCATCTTTGTCCTGATATACATTTGGGACTTGAAGATCGTAGATGTATTGTAGATAGAATGCCTTACTGTAAAATCAACACAAATTGGATGATTCCAAAGTAATTTTGGCCTTCAACCAACGTTCTGTGTATGCTTCTTTAAAGTGTGCATGGATGAATGCTTAAATTGTGAGCAGCAGGATCTATTAATTCACAATCAGCCAGTGATTGTTTTTTGATAGTGTGGTTCTTGAAACATTTATAGAATGATTTCTTGCAATAAAGCAGACTTGAGTATGGAAGGTGAAGCTTCACTGTGATGAAGCTCTGTGAAGCTTGAATTTGATGTCAAAACGTATTGGATTCTTGTCCCATTTTACTTTGTTCATACCTATTACCTGTCAACACATAGCAAGATTTACAGAACCCGATGGATGGCCTATCTTGTGTATCAGCCTTCCTACATGTATTAACTATGAAAGTCTTTTTTAGAGTAGAAATATCTTTCATCAAACATGAAATTGTTACAGGAACAGCTGGTTGTCTCATAATTGCACCAGTAGCCTACAATATAGTACAGGCATGTGCAGTGTTATATTGTACTCAAAGATCAAGCTATTTTACATAGAATTCACGGTAACAAGTTTAACTTCATACAGTGTAACTGTTGAGAAAAGAAGACTGCAACCTGCAACGCAATAAAAGCTTGACTGAATATATATTTCTATTTGAGATCAACCCTTTCAGGGCAAAATTTGCATTTTGTGAGAAGGTATTTGATAACATTGTGATATCAATGTAGAATTTAGCAACTTAAAACCATCCAAGTGGTTGGTCTGCAATAAAATTTTCTGGAGAATTTGCCCCCAGAATCATAATTTTTACTCTGATAAAGCCCTGCATGCCAGAGCAAAATATTAGTAAACATTAAATTTGATTTATTTTATATCATATCACACAGCATAGAATTCTCATCTTCGTTTTGATTTGTTCCTGACTGTTACCTTCATCATGTCTGCCCAAATCAAAACCTTTCCCCGGCTATGGGCATGTAATATGTAAACTAGAAAACTACTAAGGATGCCTCTAATTTTACGTCAATTGACTATGTAAATAGATAAAAAGCAACAAAGTCACTATGGCTTTGAATACTGCTACTTGAATTGCAATTACTTTACTTTCCCCAGTGCTTGTCAAATTCCCACTTAATACTGTGTGATTATGGAGGCTGGGCAAGAACCAAGTAGCAAATTACGAGGGCGCAAACATCTCCGGGGGTAAGGAGCGGATTCATTTTTGTACACATGGGAAATTATTGAAGGGGGCACCCAGAAGAAGATTTCTAAAAATGAGTTTAATTTTAATCACGAGTTTTATTTTCGACAAAACATTTTCTCTGTATATGAACCAAAGATATATATATGTATTTATATATATATTACATAGTTCGTAAATTTATTTTTGCCCGAGCTGTTGGCGAATGGGTGCATTTAAACTAGATAAACAAGGAAAGTAAATAAGGAAAGTAAATACAAAGTGGCTGATGAACCAATAAAAACAAATCTACACAATCATTGTAGACTTCTGAAAGATGTTAAGAATAGTTGTATATGAAATTAAAAATACAATACGAGAAATACAAAGCTCTACTGGGTGCTAAACTAATCTAGCAACAAAGAGTTTACTTTACATGTAAATTATTGGACTCCCCCAAAACATAAGGAACCGCTGTGCCCAAGGAAATAATATTTCGACCAAAGAATTGGAAATGAAAATTCATCAACTAAATCAATGTTCTTAAATAGAATAAAAAAGGATTCTGGAATGGCCAACTGCTGACTTTTGTTATTTGACAGGTAAAAGGAGAAGAAACTCTATAAGGGGGAGGTGGGGGTTAACGAACACACTCTTTTTATACGAACCATATAGTTTTTTGCCAGGGCTAGATGTTCTTTTTCTATATAGAATTAAAAGCTCGGGTGTTCTTAATTTTTCTTAATTCAACATGTTTTTTTCTACAGCTACAAACAATAAATTTTTTCTAAGATCCCAAAATAACAGCATTCCATTGCATGTTTAATAATTGATTACTGCTCTGTTTGGTTAACAAGAGAGAAAATTTCAAAAACATTATGCTATAAATTTCCATCAGTGGATGAGCAGGTTCTTAAGTTATCCTTATTTTTTGCCAACGAAGCAAAATAAAACATTGGATAAATCTACTAGAAAACGTGATCTGCTTGCGTTAGTTGAATATACAAGGAGAATGTTCTAGGGGGAGGGGGCTAGACATTGTCGAAGGTCACTCAAAAATTCGTCGCGCTAAAAGAAGGCAAATTATGTGTCCATGGTGAGAAGGCATTATCAAAATCAAAGCTTTGGGACCGACTGCAATATTTCCAAACTAATTTTATGTCAAAGAGACGATGCGTCAAGGGAGATTCAACTGAATATGTTCATCAAAATTTGCCAACATTCATCACCATCACGTTTATTATGCCGAAGCAATTTATTTTACCCTTAAAACAATCATTACTGAAAGGATTTAATGAAATCGAAAACCCCAGTTAATGTATGCAATACATTATATTGTCCGTCAGCAAGTAAATTTCATTCCCCTAGACTAGAAAAAAATATGTATTGCAATCCTTTCAAACTTTAAATATGATATTTAATTAGATTTTTAAAAAAGGGGAGTAAATTTTGAATATCTGATGCATTCAATTGTTTGATCTAAAATCGGATTTCTCTCGCGGCTAGGCTTTGATAAGATCCTCGTTTGAAATTTCGGCATCATTTTCTGTCTGTTTCAGCTCCAAGTCAACAAATTTGGACCCTTCTACATCTTCGATCATATCAGGCAATTTGATTCCACGTGTTTCTGGCAGAAGCAATGACACTCCTGCAGCAACCAAAGAGAGACCACCGAAAACCAAAAAGGGCAGCTCTTTGAAGGTATAGTGGCTCTAAAATTAAATAATTGTTGTGTGAATCAATGTTGGCTAAAAGTATTGCGTATAATTCCTATTAGTGGAGAAAGTTGCCATGATGCAAGGAGAATTTACTTGATAATACCGACCAGTACACAGTTTCTGGACTGACCAGTACACAGACCAGTACAGCATTAAGGTTCTTCAATTAGTTCTCTGTAGAATTAAAAGGTTTTCTGCCAAATTCAAAGACACTGCATCCCATTCACTGAAGTAGTGTTATTTTAAGAATGTAAAATCAACAGTTCTAACAGGTTTACGTTTGTGAAAATCGATAAAAATCCTACTGTTCGCAGGATGAGACAGGGTACCAATGGAAAATTGTTATGTGCTTCAACAGAACTTGACTTGCAAAGAATGAAGCTAGACAAATGTCTTGTTTGTAGGTCGAAACAAGGTGCGACGTAATAGACAATGCCGAATGTTTCCAAAGTATTTTTTTACCCCACCATTAATTTGCTACTGCCATCGAGAAACTATGGCGACTCTTAACAAAAAGTAGAAAACATCATTCATAAGATGTTTAATCTATGGATATCTCAAAATCTTTGTTTTGGAGGCTGTATTTCAGTTATATTTTAACAAGCTATATAAAAACGCTCTTTACAGAGTCAATTGTGAACACATTGGATCCATGACACAACTGAAAGTTCCCTAAAAATATTCTCATACTGTCTCTGTCAGTATAAACTCAGCTTTCATAGCATGGTATGGTAACGCAGAAGGATTCGTATTATCAGTATTGAAATTTCGAAAAAGAAAAAATTAACCATTAAAAGAAGGCTTTGACAGCAAGAGAACTGCAGTATAGTGTAAATTTAAGCAGTAAAAATTTAGTGTTACTGAAATTAATACTGACCAAAAGAAGAATCTGTGGCGCTAGCATGCCTCCAGCTCTTGTCCAGAATGTGCAGCCACCCATTGCAACGTTCCTAAAAGCAAAATACAATACAAAAACATCGGTGAAGGTGTTTTTCTTGTTTTATTCGCGTTAATGAATTGATTCAAGTTAGTTTCTATTAGAAGTACCGCGCCAACGTCTACAGGCAATGTCTCTAAATCAACAGGGCGAGAAAGAAATTCTCGTTCTTCTAAAAAAATATACAAACAGGAGAAATATTTTAGAAATTTACTGCAGTGGCTTATACCTGGGGGGGGGCGAGGGGGCGTGCACCTCCTAATACTTTGGAGGAAAATGGTATTTTGTTCTAACACAATGGGGAGATGTGACGTCATCTTGTTAAAACAATAGGCTTGCCTCCCCCCCCCCAATATTTGACCAAGTGTCTGCCCCTGATATACAGGTGCTATAAAGTACAAGTTGTGTCAACAGGAACGTCAGAAGCATTTCAAAGTTGAAGGGGTGCTATGTTTTAAAAAAGGGCACTTTCCCAAAATTTCTTAAGTGTGTGCTTCCAACAAAAGGCACACTTCAAAACTTTCTTAAGGAGGTAGTACCTCTAGTGCCCCTGGTTCTGACGTCCCTGAATGTCAAAATATCAACGTAGCCACCCCCTTTCAATGATGCTGGCTCAAATTTATCATTTTGACCAATTTGTAAACCATAAATACCTTATAATTGTTGGAAATAGTTCAGAGGTGAAAAGAAATATCGAAGCAAATCCAGCGGCAATGAAAAATTTTCCAGTTAGGGCAAAGACGGTTGCCACCATCTTTATATCCCTTCCACTGCCTGGAAAACAATTTTAAAAATCTTTAATTGAGCTAGGATATAAATAGACATAGCATATCTAGACAGATAGTTGATAATAATCAATGAATTGTTAGAGGCCATTCAGACCTAGCGATCAAACTATTAGAAGACTCTTGAAGTGTACTTGAAACTGTATGAAGCATGCCCTTCTTCGGAGGGAAAGTAAAATGGTTCAGCATCAAGTTAATTTAGAAGAAATCAATTCAGAGCTATTGTCTAGATGAAAAACACAAGAAGAGCCCATTGACAGAATATTCAAGAGTCTAGAAAACTGTTATCTATTCACTGGAGAACGCCCTAAAACTTTGAGAACTTACTTCAGAAAACAAAGGAAATAATATAGTATTTAGGCGTATTATTTTTATTTTGCTTTGTCTTAGATGGCCTTCTTCGCAGTATAATTTTACTACAGAAATCTTCTAAGCTCCTCTATGCATACGTTATGCCACTCCCTTCACATTCACTTTTCCTGCCGTTCTGTTTCTAAAACAGACGCATTTCACCAAGCATGCCTAATACGAAGTTGATGGTTTAGCCACACGCACATCTGAGCGTTGTACTTATGAATATTAAATAAAACATTGCAACATAGCGCCTTTCTATGTTGGCAACTATAGATGGTCTTAAAGATTATCATTAAAAGGTCTACCACGAAAATGAAGGGTCCTAAACAAATCCATTGCAAAACAAATAGATAGAAGAGGATCTTAAAGTATTTAAACTCCACAAACTGCTGGTAGTTTCACCAAAGGACTAGGATTTCAGCCCTTATACCCAATGCTAATCCTCTCATGGTGAAAGCCTGTTTGCAAGCTTATGAAAAAGAAACAACAATTTAAGTAATTCTTACTTGTTTTACTTGGGATTGTTCCTGCAATTATGCATGATGCACCTCCGGCTGTGTAGTACACGCAAAGGGGATATCGACGACCGAACCTTAAAGAAATGCATATATTATCAAACATAAATCAGGTGCAGTAAAAAAGATCGGTTGTAGGACCCCTCAGTGGTTTTCCCTCAAATGTAAAACCTCTTACAAACGAATTCATTTTATGTGGTTTCTTTAAATTTTCTCTACTCTTTGCCATTAATCTGAGTTCTTGCTCTAAAAGTTTAGACAAATTCCATGCCCCACATATACTGGCCCCAAAAAGATGGAAGACATGCTATTTTAACTGACATTTATACCAAATACTATAAATACTAAGTTTGAAGTTTGTCAGTTCTTTGCAGTTCTTCTGTCAATGTATTTTTCAGGCAGAAAGGCAATAGCTTTAAAATGCTAGCAAACAAATTAATCACATTGGTTAAAGGGGAAACACAAACATAGATGGATACCAGCTTTGGCTAAGAGAATCAAAAGGCAAGTACCGACTATATCTTTCCAACACGGACTTAGCATGACAGTAAGAGTCATTCAAGATCGATCAATAAGCTACAGTTTTTAAGAGATAAAAGAGAAGTTTAGATATACATTTGAATCCGGTACAGTTAAGTTGTGCCTCGGAATTTCACTAAATCTGACTGATTTCCAATTCCTTTGCATTTTCTACCTTGTTCAGTTTCTAAGTCACACCCAAGATAAGTCGGACATTCGCAAAGGCCATTTCCTTAACCCCGAGTAAACAGGATTCAACTGTATTTGCAAACACATAAATGATATTCAGATCCAAATAAAGAAAACTTTATCACCTGTGCAGTACATAGATGATCATTACGAATGCAGGAAGCTCCACGAAGCTGCTGATGAAGATATTTAAATATCGGTTGCCAGTAAGAGATGAGGCACTTAGAGACAGTCCGTAGTAACCAAGAGATGACGTCATCCTAGAGAGGGAAGTAAAAATTTTTTAAACATTCAAAGCAGTCGATGAAAAGGTAGCTGCTTTGCAAGAACTATGTTGCTTATTGACTTAGGATGTAAACTGCAACAAGCGTTTTCTATAACCTTAGGTTGTCACACGTATATAGCTATGACAGTTAATGTTGGTAAATAAACAGTTTTTAAAACCACACTGGTCCGCTTGATCGTTATAGTGCGTTTTAGCCTGTCCACATGTAAAAGATAAAACGGCTGAATAGGACCAAATGACATCACACGATCTCGAATCTGATTTTCATTCAGAGGCCATCGGATTGTTGGGCAAAGATTTTATTACCCTTTCCATTCTTGTACCTGATTTCCATTTCGATTGTTCGGCCATATTTTCTACATGTCTTAAAACCCTTCCCGTATATGTAGTCAGATGAATTGGCATAAATATTCGATGTCGTGAGCTACACTTAAATCTTTCACTTTTTCAGTAGTTTTGGGGGGTGTTATTGTTTCGAAAAGTGAACTTTGCCAAACCAGGTTAATTCTTTTTCGCACATAGTTTTGTGCAAACTAAATAGGGCCATTGGTTCCTATCCATGAAAGTAACAAAGAAATTTAACCGAGGAAAAGAATATCAAAACTTTATCTTGAACGTTGTGAACTCATGAGAACTTACGCTTGTTGTTTCTTAGTCATCTCCATTTACTATGTGCATTTAATGCAATCCAGGGCTGCTTTCATAGTTAGATTAATTTGTTTTATCAGTAGAATGAAAAAAACTTGTGTTTAGGACTAAAAAAAAGTCAAGATAGGATTTTTATGGGGATCGCCAAATTTCATGTAATCATTGCAGATCCCATTCAAATTTCGCATTTATATTTAATAAGAGCAAAGCACATCGATATTTGACCACAAGATGATTTTTCCTTCTAAATTCGGTCATATCATTTCTAATTCGCATTCATACTATAATTTTGAGCCGCTCCAAACCCAATTGTACTCGACAATCAATTAAATCACATTTAGTATGAATTATTCAAAGCTTATCAAAACGGTGGGAGTATTGCAAAATATTGAGCTTTGCGTGTTCATAATACAAAATTTTATTGATGTAAGAGGATGGTTCAGTGGCCAGGGTCGCGAACTACAGATCCAAAGAGTCGTGAGGTGTCTTTACGTCGAGAGGAAGGGCCAGGACACTGCTCGATAAGCACCGCTTCTCAGTGTCCTACAACCTTCAGATGCTAGGTAGCATGCAATAAAATACAGTAAAATTGGTATGGATGAAAAGCTTTCAAGATATCCTCACATGTAAAGCCACAGGCAAAACCATCGATACAAAGCACAAAATCCAGTCATTATGCAATGCTACATTGATCTCCCCTGTCTTTTGAACTGAAACTGAAAGCACTGCACATATTTTCTTATAAGAAAGTTTCAGCCCAGCCTTCAGACTTTTTAAGCTATTTCTAATTTCAGCACTAAAACTTTCTTAACATTTTCTTGACGTAAAATTAGAAGTTTTACGTTCCTGAGCATGCGCAGTGATAGAGAAGTTGAGATTGTATATATTTGCTATATTTCTTCGAAAACGTTCGATTATTGTCACAAAACGAAATATTTCACTCTAGCACGGCAATTTTCTTTGAAATTTTGAATATCTAAATCTTTTAACTTTCTTAGGTTTCAGAGATGCAGCCCTGAACTTTTTTAACTTTTTGAAGAACCTAGCATAACTTTCTTATACAATACTTCCATAAATAACGTGTATCTAAATTTAGATTTTCATTTTCATTTGTGAATGCAAGACTAGCTTTACAACCCGTTCAAATACTTTTTGACCAACTTACCAAATATAAAACATTATGATTGCCCGTTTTCTAATTTTTGGTGTTCTAAAGAGATCCATGATGTTATAATCTGCTGGCTGTTTTCCACAAACAGAGGTCGAGACTTCAATACTGAGATCTCCTGGAAGGGGCTTTTTGTTAAGACTTGCGATCTTTGCAGCTGTTCCAAGCGCTTCTTTATGTTTGTTGTGAGTAATATGCCAACGAATAGATTCTGGGACAAGCCTGGCAAAAAATTCAAAATATTCAGATACTAAAATAGTTCACCAAAGTCTGACTGAAGAGTTAAATACTCTGAGTAAATTCAAGATTAATCGTCACAGCTTGTTTTTTGAGCATAAAAAGAATTTTGAATCAATCATGTTCCATGAGATAAATTATTTTTGAGAAAGTCAGTAAATGGTGAATTTGTCCCCCCGTTTAAAATAAACTCGCGTTCTCTAAGTGCCCTCTACTTGTTAACGCCCCTTGCTCAGACAATCTAGGGACTTTAAGGGGCTTCAACCAGTACATGTAGAATTCATCATATTCTTTACAAGATGGGACAGCAATATATAAAGTAGGAATATAATGAAAGTTTCTACTTAATTTTACGAAAACGCAGAAAATTTCCGAAACATTTCTTACATATAATGATATGCATCAAAGCTGAGCACTTTAATTGTCCAAGAAATTTATAAATGCCCTATCTTTTAATGGCCTTATCTGAGAGAGTAAGAACTTCGTTAACATTCATGACATTAAAAGGAAGACTTACAATAATAAAATAATGGCATAAACCTATTTTGAACATACATGCTGGAAGTTCAGCACTTCCTTTATAAATAAACTCTATTTAAAGTATGTGTGGGTGGGATCTTATTAATATTTCACGCAAAACGAAACCAAGGATTATTATAGTAATACATGAAAAATGAGAATGTATAGAATAAAATTTATCATACCATATGTAGATGATTGTGACAAGGCTTGGCAGACACAATGCAAGTTGAATATCTCTCCATGATTTAATCATCCACGAGAGTGATGCCATCCAGATAGTGCCAACAGCCCAAAACACCTCAAAAAGGCCAGCAACCGTTGTCCGTAGCCTGATTGGGGTCATCTCGACCATGAGGACAAACGATGAGCTTTGTAGACCCTTTAAATAGAAACAATGATATCAAATATTCAGCCGATAGAATTACTCTCCCACGAAGCTACATACAAACAAAAAGATTTAATCATAATAAAGCTAAGAGTATAAGCTCTTAGGCTAAATATACATTAAGAATCAATGAAATAATTTTGTTACCAAATGAAAAAACATAATTTTCTTCATTACATTAAATTCTTATCTTTATTTTGTTTAGATATGCTGCTGTCAGTTCTTTAAAGCATAATTACACTATTTATACATTCAACCATATTTAACGTCGATTTCCAACCAGTTCTCTCTTTTAAAAATAAAAGCAAGGTACACCAGAAAAGAAGTAAAGGAAGATAATAATATAAAACGACTTATCAATGTACGAAACATGCTAAAGGGGACTCGTATGCTAAAAGGTATAATGACAGTGATGATTATAATAACCTCACCTGCATCAGAAAGCCTATAATAAATCGCAGAGTCACAAAACCAGTGTAATTGGGTATGAATGCTACAGCAACACCAAATATGATGTGTGCATACATTGTAAATAGGAGCACTCTTCTTCGACCAAATCGATCAGAGATCATCCCAAATATAACACCACCAATCATCACACCAGCAAAATAGATTGTCACTGCGAGACTTCCCATGTATTTTTTGTCACAGACAAGTGTCCACTAGTAAAAGAATCAAAAGGTAATATATTGGGACTGAAGATAGATTTGTGTATCATTATTACGACGTATTACATTCTGAAGCTTAAATTTGTTGTAAAATGTTTGCTGTTTTCAACATTTTTCCTTCAAAGTTCACCTTCTTGATTTTCCGTCGCTCATAGTCAATAGCAGAGTCGATAAAAGGTTTTCTAGTTTTTTCGGATCCAAATGGACTGGATCAATACAATGCCGTGTTTATGCGGGACAGAAATGTTGAGTTTTCCTGTTCTTAGCCAGACAAACGCACAATAACTAGAATAAGATTACCTCTGTAACAATTGAAGATTCCCGGGGCTGTGTTTGGAATATCCATCCGTCGGGGCAACCGATGCTCTTTCCCAAAGTTGCATTTAAACCATCAAATATTTTACAAGAGTCCAACGTGCTCAACGTTTTCCCATTTCTAACTGCATAGGGTGTCGTTGTGGCATTCTTCATGAACCCAGGTGGCAACTTGCAGCTTGTGAAAAGAAATCAGATAGTTTAGTCAATGAAAGAAAAAATGCGTTCTTTTTATTATGAATTAACCAACAAGAGCGCATAGCCAGAGGACTCAGAGGTTGCGTGGGTGAGAACGCAACACCAACCCTCCCCCCTCTCCAATAACGTAACCAAGCAAGAAGAGCTAAAAACACGATATCATTCCCTGTCTCTCCCTATTTACTTATTATCCATAATCAAAGGTCCATGAAAAGCTTTTTTAATGTCAAGGTAATTGAGAATTCAAAAGTCAACGAGAATACATTTCGATTGTGAAGCTGAACATTTTAGAAATCTTCTGAGCGTAAGAAGAGAAATGCTCCCCAAGGAGACGATGCCCCAAGAGTGATGATCAACCAAAGGATCCATCCAAGAGCGCCCCCCCCCCCTCCTGGTTAAATTTCAACATGCGTGTCATATCGATGATTATTACAAGGAAACATCAAAAATCACATGTTAGAAACCTTAATTATAACAGCAGAAAAACAGTTATGATTGTATTTGTAGTTTATTTAGAGTGGCGAATCTTACCTATGTGGTGGTGCAGCGCCAAAGACACTCATAATCAAATGATTCATTGCCACAGTTGAATTGCACAGCCATAATAGAAAATATAACACTGATTGAAATTTTCCAGGGTCGCCAAGCAGTGTTATCAATTCTGAGACTTCCATCGTGTAATCCTAGAATTCAATCATTAAGTATTAAAACCGGTTTCATTGCTGCAGTTTGCGTTACGTCACGTGAATCAAATAATCAACTGATCATCGTACATTACTAGTCAACCGAACTAATCGGCGAAGTAAGAATTGTATCTTGGGCCGGCCCAGAAGAGTGTTGAGTCAATTGCGTGACCAGAGGGTATCAAATGAAAATCCGCCTTGAGGGTTAGCCTTGAGGGTGAGCCAAGCATTATAAGTATGCTTCAAGACATTCAAAACTACGCACATGGTTCTAAAAGAATACCTTATAGGAAAGGTGAATGTACCATTTGTCTAAAAGAAAATTTGGCGCGGGCCCTGATAGTATCTCCATGTGTCCTATGAAACATAACCACCCACACTCAATAGGGATCG